TGATATAGTGCCTTATCAGGTCTTCTAGACTTTTCAAAGCTATTCTCAGAATATACTGTAAAGTGAATTGACCGTATGTTTTGGTGGGAAACACAACAGCCAATTGCGCACAGCCGTGTCCCACAAAAATCGTGGATTAAGTGACCAAATTATTATTATTATTTTTTTACTGTATTCAAAATGTCTTCACACTCCCTTACATTAGGTCGAGACAAGTCTCACGCAGGTTGTATTTAAACCTTCATAAAATTATAGTGTATTTCCCAATGCACTATGAATATTAGTTGACATTAACTATTTTAATATTGAATATTAGAGGATAAAGCCAACACATTGTGTGCCCTTAATAACCCCGTTTTGTTTTCCAGGTTACTAGAGAAGGAGACAAAGACGTGGTATATGCGAGTATTGTACATCACCACTGGTCCCAGACCGAGAAGACACAGGGAGAGGCGAGTGTACAAACGAGACTTGGATTTCTGAACGCAGTTAGAGTCTGTTATAAACAATAATAATAATCATCCTTTCTTTTGATACAGCGCCTTATCACATCTTCGAGACGTCTCAAAGTGCTTCACAGAAACAGACCCACAAACAGTCGGGGATTGAAGTGACCGATTTATCATTTTTTTTCTTGAGGGATTATTATTAGGCTTGTGGAGAAACGAAACTTGCCCAAGGCTTCACTCTGCCGGGAAGCAAACCCAGATACTCTCGCTTGCAAAGGCGAGTGCTCTAACCGCTGAGCTAAATGCGACTATTTCTAACACCTGTCGTTTAATAGCTACAGTATATCCTGTAAAGTGCTTTGAGACTTCTCGAAGACGTGACAAATATAAGCGTTATTAGTATTATTATTTGAACTTAAGAACCCAAATTACTGGTTGGTTGGCGTTCGGATTAAAAGATTGTGAATGTGTGTATAACTTTGTTGATCAGTAATGTGTTTTTATTTCAGGACGTTTATTTAAACATTAAAAAGAAGCCGGCGGCCACAGCAGGAAACCACAAAGTCTCACCAGAGAGCAAGTCCCCTATATACAGCACCATTAAGTTCTAGTCAACAAGAAAGAAGGAAGAAGCTGATCACATTTGCTTTAGCCGTCAATCATCACGGACGTGTCAAACGTTCACATTGAGTCTGTACCAGGTTTACACTGTTGCTCACATTCACTCTATTGCCCTGTATCACGTTTATGCTGCATATTTAGCAATCTACCGCTGTGCAAATTATTCCCTTCCCACATACGTACATGGAAATTTCCCTGTGTCAGGAATGGAACGCGCACTCTCTCCCTCCCTGGAGGGACTCACCTGTGTACCTAATTCTGGAGAGTTTCAGGTGCAGGTTGGCAAGAGCCAAGGCTTGGAGAACCCAGAGTGAGCTTTGGGGTACTTGTTAGAGTTTAACCAGCTCAAACGACTAAAACCGCTTAGATTGCCTTTGAGAGCGCTGCCTGGCAAGCTTCCCGCTACTTGCCCAGCCTGGATCACCCTACAGGTCAAGGGCTTTGGCTTTGCAGGGTTAACAATACAATATACGCTTATACAGCACCTTTCACATTATGAGGATATCCCAAAGTGTTTGAAGTGCTTGACAGAAGTTGATTGGGAGAAATATCTATTCCAGGTGACTGGTCTATCTTAAGTTCTGCCAATGAGCCAGACTGGCTAGTCAGTCACAGCAAACCATCGTTTATTATGTACGCTGTTAAATCTTCATTTCGCTCTCACAATAAAAATGTAGTGTTAGATTTTATGCTGCAATGCGGACTATTTCTGCTTCAGAGAGCTGAGCGAGTGGGGACACAGAAGGTGCTACAACACCCGCTGTGGGTGCAATGGGACCATTAATCATTTCTGTGCGGTTGGAAAGTTTCAAGGCTCATAAAAATAACTTCACTTCCTCCCTGCGCTGACAAGTCGAGTTTATTTCTGTTAAAATCCCACAGTGTCCATTCCTCAATCAACTCCCAGATACAGCTAAAGCCATCACGATCTAAACCCAAAATGTTCATAAGAATAAATATCTGAAACTAAAGTACTGTCATCTTGTCAACCGTTACAGCAAAACATACCATACGTCTCACAACATACCCTCTTTGACCGTTCTTTGGTCACCTTCCCCCCACCCCTTGGCTCCCACCCCCAGCTCGAGTGCCCAACCAACACTGACTAGTGCTCCCCATGTGAAAGACACTGTAAAATTGTTAATCTTATTGTATTGTAGACGTTGGATCTTCCTGATTACTCTCACATATAAGAGTTTAACACATTAAAATAAGAATCAGATAAGAATCAGTAGCTCAGATAGCTTACCCTCAAGGACGTGTAGCTTTATAGCAAACATTGGATCATTGATAGACATCTCAATCCCACAGTTATACCATCCTGCATCTCCCGTGGTGAGATTCTCCATAGTTACAGTAAATATCCCGTCTCTGTTATCTGTGATTGAGAATCTTCCTCGTCGTCCATTGTTGGCTTTTGTATCAATTACAACCTGACAACTGTCGCGATAATATCCCCAACACCAATATTTCTTGTTGTTCCGGTACCACTGTTTCTGATAGTGACAGTTTATTGTGATCGCTCGTCCCACAACTCCTGTTACTGGATGTGTCGCCCGTAATGTGTCTGAAACTAAAGAGACAGCGTATCAGGTATCGGATTGTAATTGCTAAATGCAGTATGAAGTGTAAATACATTTGGAAACCTCGGTGCTCGAAGCCGACTGATTCTGCCTCTTGACCTCTGAGTAAACGAGGACCGAACATTGAGGGACCAAGTGCTCCGAGACACTACCCTGCGTGAAGGGCGCTCTACAAATGCAAGTTGTTGTTGTGGTGGTGGTTGGTCCCTACAATGGCGGCCTGTAGTGCAGTGGTTAGAGCGCTTTTGCAGGGGTAATAATCCCCTGAAAAATTATAGTAATAATACAAATGTGGTCCCTCAATCCAATGTGGGTCACTGCTGTACACATACAGTCAGTTCACTTTACAGTACTTTAAAACGCTGCCCTGTTTAAATATTCCCCGTTCTTACCTGACGCTGAACAGAGAAGAAGAGTCAGAATGGGGATCATTTTCTCGGGTGAAAGCGATGCCTGGTCTGATCTCGCGGTGGCTGAGCACTCGTTTGAGGGCAGTGGATTTTATTCCTCTCTGTGGGGCAGGAAATTACGTTCAAATGAATGCACGTTAGCACAGAACCCAGTCAACAGGATGTCACGAGTTGGATTCCCTGTAGCTGTTGTGCTCAGATGCTCACAGAGAGAAATAAAATAAATAAATGAAATAAAATAAAATGAATAATGTAGTGATCAGGCGCTATATCAAATACAAGGATTATTATTATCATTACTACGAAGCTCATGGGTAAAATAATAATAATCCTTGCATTTGATGCAGCGCCTTATCACATCTTTGAGACGTCTCAAAGCGCTTCACAGGATACACTGTAAAGTGGAGTGACTGTGTAACTTGTAGGAGCAATCGTTACATGTTGTGTGTTTCCCCCTCTGCGTCATCTTTGTCAAAGCCAGTGGCCAATTGTGGAGTACAGAAGTTTTAGGCAGAACCAATTTTCAGATTGCGGACAGAGACAGAATGAGCCTTTTGGATACCTCAGTTCTGCCTCTTTTGCTACACATGAGCCCTCGTGAGGATGAAGCAAGTTACTACAATTTGGGATAATTAATAATAATAATAATCCTTGCATTTGGTATACACTTTACGGTATATTCTGTGAAGCACTTTGAGACATCTCAACGACGTGATAAGGCTTTATGTCAAATGCAAGGATTATTATTTATTACAGCGCCTTATCACGTCGTTGAGATGTCTCAAAGCGCTTCACAGTATATATCGCGCAGTGGAGTGACTGTGTATTTTGTGAGTGAAACGCGGATTCCATTTGTGCACAGCAGTGTCCCACAAACCGTCGCAGATTGAGTGAAAACCCCCCAAGTTTTTTTGAACAAAAAACACCACACTCCACAAAAATAAAGCACACGCAAAAACGTTTTGATGGGTTCGCGGTGAGCTTATCATTATCCCACCTCTCCCAAGGCAAGGATTGATCCCAACCTAGTCATGCCGGGATCTATACAGCCGCGTCTGCAAACCAAAAGTTTCTGGGTTTCCTGCGATCCTGGGGAACAACACAAAAGTAGATCGACAAAGAGTCTCACTCACATCGAGAATTTGGGGAATTTCTGGGATTTCCACGTGTCGGTGGGGTTGTGTGGAATTCTCAGCTTGGTTTTGGAGACTCTTAAGCACGGTCATGGGTTTCCGCACGTGTTAGCCGTGTGTCTGACTTGGCTTCTGGCTTCCAAACAAAGTGAAAAGAGTTCTCTCCCCACTCTGTACACAATGCACAACACAGGAACTCTGACATTGACACCCTCCCTGTCTGGACACACTGGGTTAATTCTGTTCCCCTTTCGTATAATGCACTCGATCTGGAGGAGGTCTTATTATACCCACCATTTCTGGTTTGCAATAGTTGCTCCTCAGATCGAAAGTTTATTTGCACGTTCGGTTCTGTTCCAACCGGTTGGACTATTAGCCCCAAAAATAGAAAATAAAGGGACAATTTAAACTCTTATCGAAAACATGACGGGAGGATAAAGGGACTCAATCGCCATGAGCTGTCCGTGGTGCTGGTCCTGATCAAGCAATTCACTGTGTGGCTGTTCGGGCTGTTGGCAACAAAGACTACAGACGAGACAGACTCTCAGACACTACTTTCACTTCTCATAGAACCATGTCACCGCCTCCTGTCCCCCCGCACCAACCAACCAGTATCCCTACAGTGTGAAACCATCAGCTTGTTGTGTGAACCGCTGCCAGTGGCGGACTCGTTTGACTCGTTCGAGCATCAACTGTGCTAATGTAAGACTATTATTCCTTACCGCAAGGGGAGTGGGGCCAACGGTCGGCGCGGAGGTCACTTGCGATAATTGCAAATGTTCTTTTTGAGTCTAGTGTGAGTCACGAAACTACTGGTGGGTCTGGAAGTCAAGCGAGCAGCCGAAACCGAGTGACGGCTCTTGGAACCTTGAAGTTAGAGCCAGGTGGAAAAGCAGAACCTCGTGATATTGAGAAGGGAATGCTTGCACTCAGCTTTTTCCAGTGTGTGTTAACGATGACCAAATAAGCAGTGAGTTGTACGGCAATCGAGCCAGACACTCGCTGTTTTAGCGTTGGTGCTAAACAGTGAGGCTGCCTGACCGCCATCTCACCTCCATCCCCGGGAGGACGTCAAGAAGGGAAGAGACAGGTTCTGATATACGTTTTTTATTTACCATCGATTTGCAAAGAAGTTAATGCTTAACGGGCAGAATCAATAATAATAATGATAATCCTCGCATTTGATACAGCGCCTCATCACGTCTTCGAGACGTCTCAAAGCGCTTCACAGGATATACTGTCAAGTGAATTGACTGTATATTTTGTGGGCGAAACGAGGCAGCCAATTGCGCACAGCAGCGTCCCCACAAACGGTCGTGGATTGAAGTGACCACCTTACTATTATGATTATTAAAATAATACGATTAATTTAAAAATGCAGCACGCTAAATAAAGGAAGTTCCCGCGGACCAGAGAGAGAAGTGCGGTGAATCGGAAAAACATGAACTCCTCATGATAGCACAGCAGCACCACGTGATATCCTTTGTGGTAAAGTAATCAGCACGGTGTTGGGCACAGTTTTATTTGCCTTTCAGAGTCGTTCGGAAGGAGAAACCTTGGTAGTCACTTTTCTACAAAGAACCGGGTTTGGAAACTTCCAATTAACTTTTAGAATCAGCGAATCTCTCTCCAGTTTCAGTCCAGGTAAGAAGTGGTTGATTTTTAAAGAAGAAAAAACTTCATGTGAACTAATAGCCATATAGTTTGTGGACACCTATTTGGACAGAGACTGTTCAGAAAATTTACGGTACAGAAATAATTTGCGTGGGATTGAAACCCGTTTGTTTAAATCCGGTTTGAACGACATTTTGGATTCAGTTTCTCAGCCTCTGTGCATTCGTAGCTTAGACGGTGAGACATTGAGGTGAGTCAGTGCTCGCAATCGTGGAGTCTTGAAGTGAGAGTGTTGCTTAGACCACTCGCCTCGCAGGCGAGAGGACCTGGGTTCGATTATAATAAGCCCTCAAAGAAAAATTGGTCACTTAATCCACGTCTGTTTGAAGGGCACTGCTGTGCGCAAATTGTCTGCTGCATTTGCCAACAAGACACGCAGAGGCAAGAAGTTTGACAGCAGTTAGGCAGTGCACCATCTTGAAAAAGTGCCGGTAATTTCAATGTCTCAAAACCACAAAGGAACCTTGCACTCAACATGAACGGAGTAGAATGGGGTAGTGACTGCACAGAGCCAGACACTGCCACTATAGACATGACTCACCACCTACTTTTAAGTCAGCAATACTTGCGTTTCCCCCTTTTCTCTTTCCGAAGCCTTTAATCCAAAACAGAGAGTCGTTTTCCGAGAAAACACCGCAGCTCGGGATGGTGATGGGGGAGATTAACAGAAATCAATCTGCGTCTCCTCTGACAGACTATCCAGTAAAGATACACCCGGGTACACAATAGAAGTTTGCACGTTCCTCATTGATTTGTGCTGAGTTTAAACTGGGTCTGCCTGCATGTTTGTATGAAGGAATCCTCTGGGTAACTATTTTTGTTGTCCGTTGAGATCAAGGTCCCGTCCGCCTGCTCAGGTGGGCGTTAAAGATCCCATGGCACGATTCGAAAAGAGAAGGGAACCTCTCTCTCTCTCTCCCTGGGCCCTAAACAAACAATCCCCCAAATAAAATTAATCACTTACTTCATGGCTGCTTGTGGGACGTTGCTGTGCGCAAATTGGCTGAAAAATACACAGTCACCCCACTTTGCAGCAAATCATACGAAGCATTTTGATATCCTCCTGATGTGAAAGGCGCTGTACCAAGAGCAAGGATTATTTATTACTAGTTAAAAAAAAATCTCTGGTAGAGATAATTAGATGTTTTTGTTCTCTTCTCTCGCAGAAGTGCCATGATGTTCGCTCTGATATTTTTGATGGCATTCCAGCCGGGTAAGAAAAGACATCTTGGGAGCAATAAATTAATCAGTGGCATTAGAATTTAGAGGCAGCTGTAGGATTTGTTCTTTGCTCAGCCGGGGTGTCTGACACGTGCGGAAACCCATCACCGTTGCTCCAAACCCAACTCAGAGTTCCACGTCTCCTCACCGACACGTGGAAATCCTAGAGATAGATTGGTGGAATGGAATGCGCGCTCTCTCGCTCTCTCCCTGGAGGGACGCATGCGTCCTGCTTAGCCAATTCCGGCGAGTATTAGTCGCAGGTTGGCAAGTGCGCAGTCACTCCACCTCACAGCAAGATACCGTGACGGGCTTTCGGACGACCTGCCGACGTGAAAGGCAGCGCGACCAACTTATTATTATTATAATGTTTAGCGCCGGTCACAGTCACCGAGGTTCTGCCTCAGCGACTGATACAAATTTGATCTCAGCACGTGATATGACATGACATGACATGACGAGTCCTCCCTTAAGTTTCAGGCCAAATGCGGGGAGTGAAGACCGTAACGGGAGTGGTGGGGCGCGGGGTTGTCGTAGAGTGTCACTACGAGACGGAAAAGTACCGGCAACATGAGAAATACTGGTGCCGAGGGTCCAATCACATCACCTGCACGGTGTTGGCTCGGACAAGACAACAGCCCAGACACCAGGGCAGGGTGTCAATCGCAGACAACATCGCAGACGGAGTGTTGTCCGTAGCTATGGAGAAACTACAGGCTGACGACACAGGCCAGTACTGGTGTGGCATATACACGGTCGGATTCAACCCGCATTTCCCTGTTACCGTACAAGTAGATGACGGTAATGTTGACCAAGCTCCTTCCTCCTTTAATTGATAATGATCAGTAATAATTTGGTCACGACTGCTTGCGGGGACACTGCCGTGCGCAATTGGCTCCCCCGCGTTTCACCCACAAAATACACACGGTCGATTCGCTTGGCAGTATATTCTTCGAAGCGCTTTGAGACGCCTCCAAGACGCGCTAAGGCGCTAATATCAAATGCACGGATAATTATTATAATTATAATTATTATTGTTATTATTAAATGCTCCGAGACGCTACCACCCGCCTGACGGGTGCTATGTTGTTGTGGTGTTTCAAAAGTACACATTATAGTTATAAATGTAATGCTAGTTATTACTAATTAATATTACTAATGATTACATATATAGCATATCTAATCATTGCGCCCACGAAATACCGAGTCAATTCACTTTACAGTACGTGCCCTGAAGCCCTTTGAGACGTCTCGAAGACGTGATAAGGGGCTGTATCAAACGCAAGGGTTATTACTATAGAGTATAATAATTTTTGCTATTGTTGATGCAACATTAATGCGTTAATGCCTTTCCTTAAGGGACACGGTCAGCTTTACCCTGTGTTTCTCTCCTGCAGTGGCTGTCTCTAAGCCGATCCTCCGGTTTCTGAGTCCGTACAGGGCCTCTTGTTCCGGGCAAACGGTGTCAATCTCTTGCGAGTCCGTCGATGGCTCCCTTCCCATCGACTACTCCTGGTACCAGAAATCAGTGAACACCACAGACCTGCGGGTATCGGACAGTGGGAACCTCACGCTCCGGTGCGGAAATATCGGGCACGGACACGGGTATTACTGCAGCGCCCGGAATGGGCCGGGCAGCCAATCCAGCGATGCTCTCCAAGTGTCCGTCTTGAAGACGGGGGAAGAGAACTGCGTCTATGTCGTGCAAATCCACTCCGAAGGTACGACTTACTCTGGTTCACCCGTTCAACTGAAGGCACTGGAAATTATAACAACTAAGTAACTAAGCATCAATCAATCAATCAATCAATCAATCAATCAACCAATCAATCAATTAATCAATTTTTTTTAACCAGATGAATAGTGATCCAGCAGCACGAGGATGGATACCCTGTTTGGTTTCTCTGTTGAGGGGAATGCAATGGTTAATGGGTAAAAACTCTAATTACAGGGAAGGGCTACTCCTGCGAGGACGGCTGTCGACACTGCAGCAGAGAGGAGGCGAAAACAAGCGAGGAGATTCACAAGGGCAAAAGGTGTGAACGCCTTGGACTACTGCGGCTTAACTGGATGCCGCGTTTCGCCCACGAAACACACAGTCACTCCACTTCACAGCATATCCTGTGAAGCGCTTTGAGACATCTCAGCGACGTGATAAAGCGCTGTATCGAATGCAAGGATTATTATTACAATCATGCAAACACACTGCAGCTCAAGCGTTGTGTTGTTGAGTCGTTATCAAAGAAAACAAACACGTCTCTTGCGTCCGGTCAATAATAATAATAATAATAATAACAATAATAACGTTATTTAACCTGTTATTTCTTCATTCCACTAAAGCAGGGTGATTCACTGCGTGCTCTGTATCCTGGGTTTGCTGGGTGTCGTGTTGGTAATTTCGGGCATTTTCTACAAAAGGAGAAGGAAAATGAGTAAGTGGCTTGTGTTTCACAGGAGATTCCGTTCCATTCAACTGTTAAACAAACCACAACACTGACCGGGGTCCCGTCTGCCTGTCCAGGTGGACCTTAAAGATCCCGTGGGACGACACAAAGACCAGGGAGTGTGTCCTGGCCGACAATCAAATAAAATCTGCCATCCCGCTTCCTGGCTGCTTTGTGGGACACTGCACCATGCAAAACGGCGGCTGCGTTTACCTAAAAAAAAACACACACGGTCACTACACTGTACAGTCAAATCCTGCGAAGCGCCTTGGGACGTCCTCCTGACGTGAAAGGCGCTTATAAATGGAATCTTGTTGTTGTTGTTGTTGTATAACCGACCGTATCTGTTCGCAGGTAAAAAGCAAGTGAAGCCTCGCGACACACCGGGAATAGACAGGACTTTGTCGCTCAGGTACAAACATTCGCTCTTGATCGTGTCGATAATGGCCGACAATCCCCCAAATAAAATCGGTCGCTCACTCCACCACTGTTTGTGGCACGTTGCTGTGCGCAAGCTGGCTGCCGCGTTTCACCCACAACACACACAGTCACTCCACTTCACAGTATATCCTGTGAAGCGCTTTGAGGCTTGGGATAAGTTGCTGCATCAAACGCAAGGATTATTATTATTATACGATTATTACTAACATCCTTTGATCTTGAGCAAGTAGGTTTGTCTGAAAGAATCCATTTATATACTATATTTATATGTAATAATAATAATTTATCTGGCATGTTTATGTATAATAATAACCCTTGCATTTGATATCGCGTCTTTGACACGCCTCAAAGCGCTTCGCGGGATATACTGTAAAGCGTAGCGACTGTGTATTTTGTGGGCGAAACGTGGCAGACTAGTTGCGCACAATAATAATAATAATACAGTGCCCTTCACACGGGGAAGCTTCTATTATTAATTATTATTATTATTTTTAATTATTAATAATCTTATAGCTCCCCTCTCCCCATCCCTCTGTGTTCATTGCAAACGATTCGCGCTTTCTATTTAAGGTGTCACGCGTAGGGGAAGACTGCGTTGCTGACGACATGGGGCAGAGGGTTCCCGACCCGACAGAAGGGGACGCGCAGGGAAGCGGGGCTGGGTCCAGCGGTGGAGAGGACATCACGTACGAGACGGTCGGGGCCGAGGGGAGAAGGCCAGCAGTGGGCAGCGGCGAGGAGGATGGCATCACGTATGCGGTTGTGCAACTTCAGGGCAGGTCGCGGTCTGGGGACAGAGAGGAAACCACAGACAAACCTCCAGGGGAGGAAGGCATCGTCTATGTAAATGTGTGGCTTTGAAGCAAGTGGCTCACCAGAGCGACAGCAAGGGAAACCACAGCCTTGTTCAAAGACGAGCACAGTTTCTCCCACAAAACACACAGCCGACTCGCTTTGCGGTGTGTTCCGCGAGGTGCCTTCAAAGAAGTCTCGAACACGTGATAAGGCGCTATTTTTCAAAGGCGGAGATTAAGGACAGTTTCTTAGAAATGTCAGTCCTTTCGTGTCTTTGTTTCACACAAGAAGGTTGTGGCTTCTGTTTGATCTGCTGTAGATTTGAAGCTGTTACTAAAATACACTCATAAAATACACATACAATATAAAATTCAACCTCTGCTGCTCTCGGTTCCTGTTACTTTAGCATATTAACACGCAGAGCGCTAGCCTCGCAGGTGAGAGGACCTGGGTTTGATTGCCGGGCAGGGGACACATTGGGCAAGTTTCCTTCCTCCACGCACACTCCTGTTCACCCGGCATTAAGTAGGAATGTGGTTGTTAGTCGATTGGCGGATCGCTTTTCCAGGGGTAATAAACCCTTCAAAAAAAATAATAATAATAATTCGGTCACTCACTCAATCCAGGGAAGGAGGGAAGTGGGGGAGGGGATAGGGGGAGGAGGGAGAGGGAGTGGGGTTAAACTCAAGAGATAATGATTGGTAAGCGACTTTGAGTTTATAAGACGGAGAGAGACGGATGGTGAGATTGAGGGTCATGTGTCTGAACTTTGTGTCTCCATACAATCAGCACAAAAGACTTGTAAACAAGAGCTCACTGGAGTTCAGCAGAAAGTCAGTTCCAAGTGACTTGGATTCAAATGCAGGGATCGTTTTAGGTAAAGGCAAACAGACGGTTACTAGTGATGCCCACAAGTTCGAGAATGGCGCAAGAGAAATGGCTTGGAGCCTGCTATCACTGCTGTCCCCGTCCATTGCCAACTACAAGGACGCATGCATTGGCAACGATCCCTTGGCAAGGCTATGGAACTGTGATTAAACCCTGCCAGTGCCTTGACCTTGCGGTAGGTCTGCAAAGCACACAGAACAGTGAGGGTGTGGGGAGGGAGTTTACCTCGCAATAAGTATGAACCCAATTGTGGATCGCTTTCCGGAGGTAATAATCCCTCCTCGTTCCCCCCACCCCACCACCCAAAAAAAAATTGGTGACTCAATCCGCCGCTGTGCGCAATTGGCTGCCGCGTTTCGCCCACAGAAATGCACCATCAATCCATGTTACGGTGCATCCTGTGAAGCGCTTTGAGACGTCCCAACGATGTGATAAGGTGCTGTATCAAATGCAAGGATTATTATTATTATGAAGCAGAAGGCATCCCGTGGGGTTGAGGCTAGATGAAACTGGAGGCCTGCGCTCATGTGCCAAACACGCTCCCAGTTCCTTAAATTTATGGTGTGAGTTTCACAAGTATTGTCGGACATCAGCACAAGTCACAGGAGTATGCAAAGCTGCCAAACGGAACAAGAGATTTAGGAACAGGCAAATCTTAGTATTGAGTGCAGGGCACTACAGCAGACAACATCTTTATGAAACTTGGAGAGTCTTTTAAACAACAACGACCAAACAAATATGGATTTAACATTGTTCGTATTCATTAGTTGCTTATCATCAGGTAAGAACAATCCAATCGGTGTACGGTCACCCAGTATAAATGTTCGAACTGTCAAGCTGTATTAAAGGGTCACAGAAGCTTTGCTTAATGTTCAGTCGGCAACCATGGGACCACCATTATTCACAGAATAACTACGTGCAGACCCGTAGTTTAGTAGTTAGAGCACTCACCTGGCAAGCGAGAGGATCTGGGTTCGATTCCTGGGTGGGGCAAACTCTTTGGCAAGTTTCCCTACTCCACACGCCTCAACCAGCAATAAGCAGGAACCCGGTTGTTAGTCGATTGTCGGATCGCTTTCCATGGGTAACAATCCTTCAAAACAAATTGGTCACTCAACACACGACTGTTTGTGGGACGCTGCTGTGCGCAATTGGCTGCCGTGTTTCGCCCACAAAATACTCAGTCGATCCACTTTTCCGTGATGCATTCCGTGAGACGTCTCAAAGAACGTGAGAGGGCGCTGTATCAAATGCAAGGATTATTGTTATCACCATTAATTAAACACCTTCTAATTAGAGGTTTGAGGGTTTTTTTTACACACTGCGATAGACATTTATCTTTCTTTTTAACAAAAAAAGAGGAACTTTTGTCTTTTTCATTCCCAGCTGCGAGGGCAATCAGTGGACCCAAGGCAGTGAATGGTTCAGTGGGGTCTCAGGTGCAGATCAGGTGTGAATACGACACAGTTTATAGCACGTACAGCAAGTACTGGTGTAAAGGCTACTACAGGAGACACTGCAATGTCCTGGCACAGACGTTGGGGCCTCAAAATACAACCGAGGATGGCAGAATAACAGTGGAAGTGGATAATAACAGGGGCGAGTTTTCAGTGACCATGAGGAAGTTAACATTGAGTGATGCGGGATGGTATTGGTGTGGTATAGAACACCCGCATATTCTCAACATGAAACACTCCGTCTGGCTCAGAGTTTACGAAGGTAAGGAACTGCCTCTCCGCTGTGTCTTGCTAACGACGTGTTACTGTAAAGGTTTTGTATGGTCGGACGCAACTTCTAAGCAAAATCAGCTCTTTTACCTCTTCAGAGGAGTAAGTTTCCTGATTCTCCCCCGTGCGCCTCTGTTTACCCAGCGGTAAGTAGGAACCCAGTTGTTAGTCGATTGGCGGATCTCTTTTCCGGGGGTAATAATCTCTTCCAAATTAATAAGTCAATAATAATAATTCGGTAACTCAACCCATGACTGTTTGTGGGGACGCTGCTGTGCGCAATTGGCTGCCGCGTCTCGCCCGCAAAATACACAGTCAATTCACTTTACAACATATTCTGTGAAGTGCTTTTTGGACGTCATCAAATGCAAGGATTATGATTATTAGTTTGTCGAACGTTGCTGGGTTGGAAACTGAGCAGAACCCCTAGAAAGTACAGCAACGTATGAGTAACAAGCAATAACAAAACTTTTAATAGGAAGACAGGAACAGGAGGAGGCCTTTCAGCCCCTCGAGCCTGTTCCTCCATTTTGTTAGATCAAGGCTGATCTGTACCCCAACTCCAATTACCCGCCTTTGCCCTATATCGCTTGAGCCTCTGACCTAAGAAACATCTGTCCACCTCAGTCTTGAAAACGTGAATGAATCCAGCCGTAATCCGCAGCCTTTTGGGGGAGGGAGAGAATTTCATTAATTAATTGTTGTTGTTGATGTTAATTCATTAATTAATTTTCATTGCAGAGCTTCGCATTGTCTAACTTTGCGGCCAATGAGTAGTATTATTATATCAATGAGTATTGATAATTAATGAGTGTCGTTAATTAATGATTAATTATTTGATAATTAATGAGCATCATTAGTTATTATTAATAATAAGTATTATTAATAATAATTATGAATTGTGTCTGTCGTATTGGATTGCGTTTAAGCAGGAATCGAGACGTGGAATCCAACGGGTGAACAACAAAGGTAAACTTCCACTCGCACCGCTACACGGGACAGCGCCACTGACAAATACAGCGTTCCCCCCACCTTTACCGCCCCCCCACCCCCTCAACCCCACCCCCCCCCCACCCCAGCCCAATCTTGCATCAGCTCAGACTGTGAGCTCGAAATCCAGACGAGGGAAGCTTGAACCCACATCATTCTGACTCAAAGACCAACTCACCCTTGGTTTCCTGGCTGGTTGTAGAAGAAGTTCCTCTTCGTCCGTGCCTAGTCATTTACCACCACCCCCCCCGCCACCCGGCTCAGCGTCGCTCTCCGCCACTGTCTGGGGCGCTCCCCCGCACGAGTGAGGGGGTCGCTGTGTGAATGCAAGTTGAATCGTTGTTTGTTTCTATTGATCCAGGGAGGGAGCGGCTACACATTACCTCACGTGGAACATTATACGTTGGGTTTTCTTCGCTGTCCTCCTCTGTTGGGGCGTTTGGACCATTTGGCAAAAATAGCGGAATAACTGGTGAGTAAAATTACTGTAGCTGTTGGAAAGCAACAAACATCTCCACTCCCCCGGGGAGGGGGGGGGGGGGGGAAATGGGGGGAAATGGGGGTTTGGGGAGGGTGTCGGTATGGGGGACATTAGCAAAAGTGGCTGCCGCGCTCGCCTCCAAAATATACAGTCACTACACTTGACAGCAAGTCCTGCGAAGCGCTTTGAGATGTCCTCCCATATCAAGTGCAAGGATTACTATTATTATTAATAATAAACATGGTGAAATGCTGCGGGAATCATGTTTCTGGGGTATTCCTCCCGACGTGAAAGGCGTTATGCAAATGTAATCTTGTTGTTGTTGTTGTTGTTCTCTCCTCTCCCAGGTCCCAGATGTAGACCTCAACAATTAGTCCACTCGTCGTAAACTCCAGTGAATTGTGCGGCGTTTCTGCTGATGGGACCGGACAGTCACACCTCAGCCCTTTACCTGCGAATCACCAACAAATTCGTCACTCGATAGCAGTGTTGCAAATCCTTGACATAGTCATTTCACTTGTATTCTCCAGCCCAGCCCAACATGCAGTCTGAGACGCTCAACAGCGTCCTATTCCCAAACAAAATTAATCTGACACGCAACGAGCATGTGGGCGACCACAAGAGAACAGACCAGATCAACGCTTGCTCCTGTCTGAAAGCTCCTATGCGGACTATGGAGAACTCTACCCTTTGAGGTTTTCCTTTATTGGGTTGGAATCAAGTCGACACGACCAGCTCTGTCTTGAAGCGTTAAAGCCTTTCCATACGTCTAACCTCTGGGAAAGTAAATGAACAGTGGTCTTTGTAGTTAATTAACAAAGAGCACCTCATTGTCGGAGGTGACGTCTTTTGAATGAAACGTTAGAATGATCTCACGTCTCCCTGTTCACGTGGATGTTAAAGATCCTGTGGTATTGTTAGAAAGGAGAAGGGAGTTTTTCTCCTTCAGTGTCTAGGCCAACAAATAAAATCAGTCACTCACTTCACAGCTGTTTTTTGGGGGACTTTGCTGTGTGCAAAGCATGTGTGGCATTTGTTGACCAAATACCCAGTCACTACACTACATAGTAAAAACCTGTGAAGTGCTTTGAGACATTGGTGATCTGACAAGGAGACGAATCGAGGGCAAGGGTTGCTTCTTATTAATGATTATCATGAACACATTTACCTCCTTTTGATTAATCACGCCGTCGGGGAAGCAAAACAAACAAGAAAAATAAAACACAGCTATCACCCAAAGACACAACCCCCCCCCCCCACCCCCACCCCCACCCCCAGAGGACAACACCTGTGACAAAGCATTGCACCCCCAGCATTGTGTTGGAGAGAAAGGCAAAGCAGCTCCAGCTCAAAAGCCCCAGCTCCAACCCACATCCTTTTGAACCTTGAGATGCGGTTGAGATAAACTAAAGGGAAACGCTTTGTTGCATAAATGCCACACAGTGCGTGTTCTATTTTACACAGAGAACCCGACGAGAGGACGGAGTTAGATGACCAGAACGGTGAAGGATAGTGAGGGCGAAGTCCAGGAAAGGGGTTGAACTATTCTGATTTTCCACCTTAATACAAACCCATTCATTCGAATCACCGTATTCATTCGAATCGCAAGGCAGGTTTTTATGGCAAACACAGGTTTTTATGGCAAACACAGGTTTTTATGGCAAACACAGGTTTTTATGGCAAACACAGGTTTTTATGGCAAACACAGGTTTTTATGGCAAACACAGGTTTTTATGGCAAACACAGGTTTTTATGGCAAACACAGGTTTTTATGGCAAACACAGGTTTTTATGGCAAACACAGGTTTTTATGGCAAACACAGGTTTTTATGGCAAACACAGGTTTTTATGGCAAACACAGGTTTTTATGGCAAACACAGGTTTTTATGGCAAACACAGGTTTTTATGGCAAACACAGGTTTTTATGGCAAACACAGGTTTTGATGGCAAACACAGGTTTTTATGGCAAACACAGGTTTTGACGGCAAACACAGGTTTTTATGGCAAACACAGGTTTTGACGGCAAAGCGCTGGGCACAAACGCACAGGATCGCACGGACACTGTGCGGAGAGTGGGGTTTGTGTCCTCGCTGCTGAGGGCGGTTTCAGTCACCAACAATTTGGACAGTCGATGCGATTCTTCGAGCAACAGAACAATCGGGAGCTTGTGCGGGCAGGAGGCAGAGGGCTGTACCAGGGCTTCTCTGGTACCTATTTATCCCACACTAGACATGCTGTCAGGTCTGAGAGGGCGGTGTTGCGATTTCGCCTTTCTGCGCCACTCTGCTCTGTGCTGTGCCACTTACTCATCACAAACCCGCAGCTGTTTATAGAAGGAAATGAAACCTGGAGCGGCTCAGTCCAGAAGCAAAACCTCTCAAGTCAGGACCTGCGCGTGAAAACGAGAGTCTCATTAGTGTTTTGCTCCCCCCTCCCACCCCTCCCACCCCTCCCACCCCTTAAAAGAAGATATATCGTAAGAATATGGGTTTTACAGTTCTTCTGTCCGTGGTTTTCTTATCAGGTAAGGAATCTGTCGCTTTTAAGCGGGTGTGAAGGAACGAACGAGTCGCGTTAACATACACAGCCATTTACAGGGACCCGCAGATCGTGGATCGTTTTTATTGTTGGCTTTACTCGGTGGAACTCGTCCTGATCGTAACTAACTCGGTGCTACAATGAGGTTAGGAGTTTATCCTCCCTTCCCCCCCACCCCCCACCACCTCCAAAAAAAGGGGCTCCCTCTCACCCTCTCACTGGTAGCAATGTATTTCTGTCTAAGCCCTTGTCAGGAGACGGTATAAATACAGTAAACTTCTGATAACTCGACCCTGACTTAACCTGTTACTACGCTTAAGTCATCAGGGCTGTCAACATCACGGCTGCGTTGAGTTAGTAATTGTATATATCGATCTCTATATGCCTAACTGGCCACTCCTGATAACTCGGCACTGCAAGAGGAAAAGGGGCCTCGCTGATGAGTTATGAGTTGAGTGTTCGCTGCGTTGAGTTGATTAGTTAAGTTTCGGTTAGTGGACAAAACTCAGGAAGTGCTGTTTGTCACCAAAACTGTGCTCGGAAACGTCAAGTGATTTTGTGAAACAAGAACTGCTGCGGAGTCCCAATTATTTAACGTTTTGGAGAAACATAGTTTTTGACGTTTGGCAACGACCTGAAATGAAACACCGTCAGTACACGATGTGTTAGCAGCTATTGGAAACTTCTCGGAACTTCCTTGCAGGCTTCTGACCTGGGGTTTAGGAGGTGAGAATTCCCACTAACCTAATAAAAATAATCCTTGCATTGGATAGAGTCTCGACATCAGGTCGTCGGGATGTCTCCAAGTGTCTGTGCCTGTAAAGCTCGCATGTTAGCGGCAGTTAAGCAAGTAACCTGCCTTCCCTTTTTTTCTTTGGAGTTGAGGTACAGATCGACCCTGATTTAGGAGAATGGTGGAACAGGCTCAAGGGGCTGAATGGCCTCCTCCTCCCGTTCCTATGCTCATATGTATATCTCGCTTTTGACAAACAGAAATTCTTACCCTCCCAAAGAATCAATTATTGCAAATTCACATTGAACAGAGATAAAACTTCCCCCGGCCAGCCAGGTGTAGTCAGATACTTCATCCCTCCACCCCCACCCCCCCACTCTGCTGCGGGTTGGGTACAATGTACCAGGGAGGGGGTGCTGGGGTTGTGCTAATAATTGGGGCTTTATCTAGGACTATTTAAATAACTGGCTCAAAATAATGGAGTAAGAAGCCGACAGATTGTTTGCACGTTTCAGAAGCGGAGATTGGCCACAGATGAGCTCACTTTTTAGCACCAAATCCAAATCATAGAATCATAGAATATTACAGCACAGAAAGAGGCCATTCGGCCCATAGCGCCTGGGCAGGCAGGCTCTTTGGAAGAACTACCAACTAATCCCACTCCCCCAGTTTGGACTCTATGGTTCTCCCCCCCTCCCACCTCCAAAACTGCGTCTAAACTCCCCAGGAATTGAGTGCATCCGACTTGCGTCATGAGAGGGGAGGGGTTGGGGGATGGAGGTGATAGGGGAGTGCGCATTGATTCCAGACCAGTGGAAATAATAATAATAATAATCCTTGCATTGGAGAGAGCCCCTTATCACGTAGTTGGGACGCCTCAAAGCGCTTCACAAGGATACGCGGTAAAGTGGAGTGACTGTGTGTTTTCTGGGCGAAACCAATGGATTCGCACTGGTTGGCCAAAGCCAAGAAAAACTATAATGCTTATCATGTCTAGATCAGGAACAAAGCAAAGGGAAGAAAAAGTTGGGAGCTGCCCACACACAAACACACACACACACACACCATACACACACCCACACACACACACACACACACAGAGGATCTCGGACTGAATTACATGATACAATTGTGAGAAGCTATTGTTCACTTGAAGCCCTATGACGTGTCCCTGTACTGAATAGTAATGTCTCTTGGGCTCCCATTGTAAATAAATAGGAAGTTCCTTCAACAGGAACGCATCGCACAGATTGATGCATTTCGAGGCAAGGCACGCACATCAGCGTCCACGATGCACATGTGTCCCTTCACTCAGCGTCGTACCAGCTGGACGCAAAACCGTCTAACCGTGCCTGTGACGCAGCAATCCACCAAAACCAGGCCACGGACCGAAATTTAGTGACGCTCGACATCAGCCCCTGAGTAACAATTCATCGGCAAGAAAATCCCCCCAAAATTCGCGTGCGGACAAAGAGGACGAAGAAACAGTAATAGCCCCCGCGCTTGTTGTAGCGGCTCATTTATCGCGTCTTCGTGACGTCCCAAAGTCCTTCGCAGGACGCGCCGTAAAGCGAATTGACTGCGCACAGTTTGTGGGCGAAACGCAGCACGTGAGGTGAACGCTTCACCGAAAACTAGACGGGTCGTCCTTGGTCTTTTTTCGTCCAGTAATTGCTGTGCGGTCAAAGTAGGCGATCTTCGTTGAACCCGAAATCAGCCCAAAGTTTTTATATGGACTTGGGCCGAAGAAGCCCTTTGGACTCATTGGATCATCTCGTCCTTCCCTGAATCTCCCTCCTCCCCAACGCGCCACCCACCCCCCCCCCCCACCCCCCACGCGCCCCCCTCCCATCTCTCTGTCCTCCCATTACAGAGTCCTGGGTCTCCATTCATTGATAACCTTCAGGGGTAAACAGGATCCATAGCCCATGTCCTCCCAACGCTATACAAATGTAATTTTGTATTGTATTATTATTATTATCATAAAGCCCTTCACTCCAGGTAGAGTCTCAAAGCTCTTGAAGTCCATTCAAATCAACCGAGGGCAACTTGCAACTTGAAAAAAACCAAACCGGGGGGGAAAGGGCGAGGGGAGGAGAGGGTGGGGGGAGGGCGAGGGGGGACGGAGGTGCAGGTGGGGTGGGGAGCGAGGTGGGAGAGGTGGGGGGGAAAGCGGGAGTGGGAGAGGGGGCGGGCAGGGGAAAGTGCTGACTCTGGTCCCCAGGAGATCACGAGGAGCAATAAGCAGCTTCACTTCCTGATTGTGTTGCTCGCGGGAGTCACGCTATGTAAAGAGACAGGATGTGCGAGCCCGGCTGTGGCTCAGAGCGGACAAAAAGAAATCTGTGGTTCATCACAAAATTAATTACACGTCAGCTTGGGGCAACATCTGGCTGATCACGTGACCTCCTATTGCGCCAGGCACCACCGGCAGTCATTACTGGGGCAGAGGACAATCTTACACAAACAGGATTGTCCATCTGACGTCTTTACTCCGTGTCAAAATGAACTCTCTCTCTCTCTCTCCCTCCCCGACTCCCCCCACCCACCCATCTCCCCTCCCCACCACCACCTTAACCATAACCAAGCCTCCCTTCAACTTTCAAAACCTTTCTCAAGACTTGGCTCTTTTACGGTTCCTTTGGGCACTATATAAACGGCATTTTGTTGTTGGTTTTGTTGTGGCCCCCCCCGCGCCCCCGGCCACCGCTCCCACCCTCGCACCTCCACCCACTCGAACCCCCGCCGGTTGTGTGAAACACTGGGAAGATGCCCTTGTGGATGTGAAAGTTGGCTGCAATAAATGGGACTTGCATTGTACTGTAACATTGTCCGTTTGTTCCACAGTTACCTATGCTTCGCTCAAAGGACCGAGCGAAAAGAACGCAACTGTGGAATCTCAAGTGACTATCATGTGTCGATTCGACAACTCGTACAGAGCCTATAACAAGTATTGGTGCCAGGGCTACTACAGGAGGTCCTGCAATATCTTAGGGATAACCTCAGAACATGAAAGGATAAGTTACAACGGCAGACTAACAGTGAAAGCCAATAATAAGAAGGGCGAATTCACAGTGATTCTGCGGAAGGTAACACTGAGAGATGCCGGGTGGTATTGGTGTGGAATAGAAAGACCTCACATTCTGGATATACAACACCCCGTATTTCTCAGAGTTTTCGAAGGTGAGATACCACTGGCAAGCTGTTGCTGTATTCTTAAACCACGTGTCCGTTAGACGTCAGAACTCGCGTATGTTACCGTTATCCCCGAAACTCCGCAACACTCTTCCACACTCCCTCCCTCTGCCTTGCCCCCTTCCTTCCCCATCTTCGGGTCGCGCCTGAAGACCTTCCTCTTCAAACGTGCCTATGGTCACCTCCCCTCCCCCCCCCCCGGATTGGTGACATGCTCCGCCACTGTCAAGCGCTCTGGGACCCTGCCCTGCATTAGGGGGGTGGGGGGCGAGGCTGTGTAAATGCAAGTTGTTGTTGTTATATTCTACAAAAATAGCACTGGTGTCAGTGTTTGAGTGTTTGCATGTTAATAACTGCTGCTCTTTGCCATTATTTCAACAGCTCACAAGCCAATCAATCCAAAGAAAGATAAGAAAGGGTAAACTTGTTTTAACCTCTTCTACCCCACTCCCCCCTCCCTCCCCCACGCCTGGCTCGGGTGCCCAGCACGCTGTGTAAAGCATTTTGAAACTTCCTCCTGACGTGAAAGGCAATACAAATATTGTTCCATTATAGGGTAGTAATATACCCTCCGCTCGCCTGGCTCCGGCCTCCTGTTGGTTCCTAGTCCCCTCTGCTCCACCATCGGTAGCCGTGCCTTACAGCTACTACGTTCCGAAACTCTGGAACTCTCTCCCTCAATCACTTTGCCTTGCCTCCCCCGTTCCCTCCCCACTTTCAAATTCCCCTTTTGACCGTGTCTACAGTCACCTCCCTCCCTCCCGGCTCAGTGTCAGACTCCGCCACTGCCTAGCGCTGCCAGGAAGCTACCTCGCATGAAGGGCACTGTATAAATGCAAGTTGTTGTTGTAGTGCTAAGCTCACAAGGACAAGGACCGAGATTACAATGGAGGCACTTTGCATAATAACCCTTTATTATCGGGTTCACTGTCACTGACACTTTTCACACCCATCACTGACACTTCACTATGTATTATATAGCTGCAGACTCTCCTCCCAGCGATCAGTAACACATATACAATTGTTGGCTTTATTCGCATGATCAGATCATAGATCTGCTGCCAGTTGTGGCCTATTACAGAGTGTGGTCAGTGTCTCCGACTGTTACACATGATGGGGAGGGAGCGATGGTTTATCGAAGCTTAAACCGAGGGATCCAATCTGAAACGTCTGGAAACCCAGGAGATGTTACCATCTAACCCCCTTCCCTTTCCACCCCCTTCTCCACACCCATACCCACACCCCCCACCGCCCCCCACACACAACCGGTTCTCACTGTTCACATTCAGTCACCCAACAGCTCTGGCTTTCATTGGTCACTTAATGCATCGCATTCAGCAATTCATGTCCAACACACCAAAGAAATCTCTTAATTTAAGCCCCATTGCGAAATATATAGGAACAGGAGGAGGCCATTCAGCCCATCAAGTCTGCTTTTTAAAAAAAAATTAAAACGGTTGAATAAAATTAAAGGTGGGAAGCAGATTAAGATAGGTCAGTCTACAGTTGCTTCCACACCACATATCCTACCTGAGATGGGCTGTTTCTGTGTTGACGTAGTCTCTCTCTTTCTCTCTCTCTCTGATAATTTATCAAGCCTGCACATCGCTCTGGGCATCATTTTTGGAGTGTTGATGCTGTTGTTGATCGGACTCGTGGTCCTTATTGTCAAAAAGATAAGACGTCATCACAGCAACAGTAAGTCTCTGTGTCTTAACCTGGATCGAGAGCACCTGTACTGAGGCGGGCGGGAGTCTGACTCACGCAGAAACCCAGCGTTGTACATGTACGTGCCTGCGTGGACATTTCCCGGTGTCTGGAATAGAATACGCACACTCTCTCTCTCTCTCTTATCACTTCGTTGAGACGTCTCAAAGCGCTTCACAGGATATACTGTAAAGTGGATTGACAGTGTCTGAGACATGGATGGACAATTCGGTAAGAGAGGTATTAAGGGGTCTGGTGAAAGGGCAGAGCGCTGGGACTAAAAGACCTCCTAAAATCTCATGAACAGACGAGGGGACGAAATTACAGTCCATCGCATGAAGCTCTTTAAGACGTCTTTCCGACAGCGCGAAAGGCGTTGTGTGAGACGTAAGGGTTTTAAGCTCTTTTCTTCTTCCCTGTGGTAAAGTCGCACGGTTCAATGTTGGTGATGGAGCTTTCTTTAATTCCCGGCGTGCGTGTGTTTTGTGTCAGGGTGTGTGTGTGCGTGCGTGTGTTTTGGGGGGTGAGGGGGGTGTGGGATTGAAATAGTAACTGTCTTACACTGTCTATTCAATGCACACAATAATGGTGACACCCTCCCACACCGGAGAGGTTCACAATGTGGCAATGTGTTCCGTGGTTCGTGACAAAGGGACATTGTTCCCGATCGCCGCAATCTATAGCTGTGTCCGGAGAGGCACGGCCACGGTATCAGTCAGCACAAAAGGTGACTTGATTGCCTCGATTAAAAAGCACCGTTTGTGTCGTGGGTCCTCAAAGGGGCTCTGAATAGACCGGATCATGTGAGAGGTTTTATCCAGTCCGGAACTGTAGAGCCAGAGGTCACGGCCTGCGACCGAATTGGGGGTAAATTCAAAACGACACACGACGCATTTTATCGCACCCGTAATTTGAAAACCTTCTTGCACTGCCTGACCTTGTGTTTTCCCCCCACTCCCTCCCTCCCAAAAAGGTAAAGACATAACACCGCAAGTGGAAAACTCCATCCCAACTTCAAACTCTGTGGTAAGAATACAGTCTTCTGAGATGTAACTTGCGACTGGAACTCATCTAGACTGGAACTGAAGGTCCAATGCAACGCTGGGGTTGGGGGTGGGGGGGTGGGGGGGGAGTGGGGAGGAGGGCGTTGCATTGTCCGAGGTGCCCTTCCCTTTGGAGACGTTAAAGAGAGGTCCCGTCTGCCTGTTCAGGTGGACGTCAAAGATCCCGCGGCCCTATTCGAAATGAGAAGGGAGTTTCTCTCTCTCTCTTTCTCTCCCGGTGTCCTGGCTGACAATCCTCCAAGTAAAATCGGTCCCTCGCCCCCCGTTGCTGCTTGTGGGACAATTGCCGTGCGCAAACTGGCTGTCGCCTTTCACCGACAAAATACACGGTCAATCCACGTTGCAGGGTGTCCTGTGAAGCGCTCTGAGATGCCTCAACGACGTGATAAGGCGCTATATCAAATGCAAGGACTATTATTATTAGTATTATTATTACTATTGTTATGCTCTTTCCCACTCAGCTGTTCAAAGAAGTGGAGGAGGGGGTTACCTACAGCACGGTGACGATTCAGCCCCACGATCCGCCCGCACAGGACGGAGCGACATCGTACGAGAACGTCAAAACTTCCCAGAGCCAGGAAGCCATCAAGCCACCGGCCAGCGCCCCAGTCGCTTCCGAAACAACAGAGTACTCCACGATCGTCATCAAACAATGACGGCGTCCGTGTGCGCGCGCAAAGGTACCTCAACCCTCCTCGGAAACAATGTCCCCAACGCTGGCCCATTCGTCCATCAAAACACAGAGTCTCCCCACCCTACAGTGTGTATCCTGTGAAGCGCTTTGAGACGTCTGAACGACGGGCTAAGGCGCTGTATCAAATGCAAGGATTATTGTTATTATTATTATTATTATTATTATAGTATTATCAGAGCACGGGTGGGATGTTCTCCTATCATCAGACATTGAGGTCGGGTCCCGAAATTCCACCTGCTCTTAGCCTGCAAGACTGTTTTGCCTGCAACCACCCCCCCACCCCGCCACCCCCACCCCCCACCCCGTTCAATTTGGAAGCTGGTATTTTCCAGAGCATCGCAGCCCTCTGGTATCTGACCAGTGACCAGGGTTTGGGGAAGTCAAAGCATCACGGATATATTTTTTATTAGAGAATGGATGGTTGAGGGTGGGGGCATTGGGGGGAGGTGGGGACAGATGGAGACATTTGTTTGTTTATTTATTTATTTGAATCCTTATCTGATTCAGTGGCTGTGCCAATCAAGCACATACTCTGCGGAACAGGCATAAATAACGTGGCTTCACCTAAGCAGCTTTCTCACTGTTAACAACATTAACGATAATAACGTTTTATTGATGTTTTAACCGCTCAGTAATTTGGGAATGTACTAAGAACAATTAACAGCTAATTGTTTGTTCTTGACTGAGAATGATTGACACCAGTTTAACCCTAAGGCTCTCTCCAGCCCCCTGCTTCGTCTGTTGGTTGACGTTTGGGCAGCATTGGGGAGCGATAAGGAACCGGTTGATGAGAAACCATCATCCTTGATGTCCTGCGACATTTCAGAGCTGAAATCCAAGTCGCGTTTTTTAACTCATTTATTTCGAATGGGACCAGACAGAAATAAAGTTAGCGACCTGGGTTGCCGTGTGCTTGCGGCGAGATTTTCTAGTTTTTTTTTGGTCAGCCGGGTGTCTGACACACGCGGAAACCCATCACCGTGCTTAAGAGTATCCAAACCCAACTGAGTGATCTGATGCGTTTGTTTTACGACGGACGAACAGACGGTTTTATTTAACCGTCAATCTAAGCAATTAGAATCTCTTCTCGGGGGTGGGTGGGGGGGGGGGAATAAAACTTAAAGTTTTGTTAATGGGGCAAATATACAGCTTCCAGGTTGAAATTGTTTGCTGTTATTTTTCTCAAGGTGTGAAATGAATTTTGAAATTTCTGTATGTTAGTTGGTGGTTAAGTATAGTTCTGTTCGGCAACTCTTAGAAATTTCCGCACAATTTTCGGATTTATTTACTGAAAATGTAATGATGCAGTTCACTAATTTACAGTTTCCCGAATGTAACTTCACTCCTTGTTAACTGTTCACCTTCAGCCCTGTGTAGTCTGTTCAATAGCCGGTAAAATGGTTCCTTTCCAAATAACATTAAAAGTTTACAAAAAAAAATGTGTCACACGCTGATGCTCTTGTAAAGTTTTGCAGTCAGTTCACTTTACAGTATGGCCTGTGAAGCGCTTTTAGACGTCTCGAAGACATGATAAGGTGCTATATGAAATGCAAGGATTATTATTATTAATATCATGTACCATACTAGTAATCTGACCCACTCGGCTCCCGTTAACCCTACAAGCTAATGCCCTAATGGGTAGGGTGGTCCTAGCTGGACAAGCAGCGGGGAAGCTTACCACACTCAATGACAAGCTGCATGGTTTTAGCTGATTAAACTCCAGCAGTTATCCCCAACGCACACTCTGGGGTCCCTAAACTATTGCTCTTGCCGACCTACGCCTAATACTCTCCAAGATTAAAGGGCACGTTACTCCAGGAAGGGAAGGAGGGACAGAGAGGGAGAGAGACACAGGGTAGAGTCCCATAGCGCTTGATAATGGTAGAGCGCAATCCCAAGCCGGGGGGCTGGGGTGGAGAATGGAGGACAGCAGTGTCTTAGAGGGTCAGTGTTATCAGGTAAGTCCCTCCAGAGATGGCGAGTCCCGATGAAGACACAAGAAGAAGAACACAATGACAGCTGATGTTGTGAACTGGTGGCTACACTTTGTAATGACCACAAAATGTTTAACAAACATAACAGGTGAAAGACTGCAATACCTGTGGAGTCCTGTAGCTCAGTGCATTTGCCTGGTTTCGATCCCCGGGGAGGGCAAACCTTTGGGCAAGTTTCCTTACTCCACACTCCTCTGTTTACCTATCGGTAAGTAGGTACCCGGTTGTTAGTCGATTAGCGGATCGCTTTTCCAGGGGTAATAAAACCTTCAAAAAATATAAAAATAATAATAATTTGGACACTCGGTCCACGACTGTTTGTGGGACTCTGCTGTGCGAAATTGGCTGCCGCGTTTCACCCACCAACATACGCGGTCAATTCACTTTGCCATATATCCCGTGAAGCGCTTTGAGGTGTCTCAAAGACCTGATAAGGCGCTGCATGAAAGCAAATTAGAATATCACCCCATGTAGCGAAGCCAACTGTGTTATCTCTGGAACAAGTGGCCAGCAGTGGTCCTTGCACAACTGTCAGCAAATATTTTATTATTGATTGAATAACCTCTTGCACCATGGGTTTTATTTACCAGCGCTGGACGGAGGGAGGAGGGAGGGAGGGAGGGGTTGTAAGCAGAATTCCAGTTAACACATTCTACAAACTGTCTCCACTCTACACATTCAGCTGCTCTTTCGAACCATGGTATTCACTGAACTCGCTCTCCTCTTCCTCGTCACCATGATACCAGGTAAGGAAATGGTGCCAGAACCTGCTCGCTCCAGTGTTACTACTCCTAGTTATTAATGGTACGGAATTTCGCAGCACAGGACAGAACGCGGCTGTCCGCTCCATCTAGACTGTGTCTGCTCCCTGGTAGAGCTCTCCAGTTAGTCCCACTCTCTCTCTCTCTCTCTCTCTCTCTCCCCCCGACCCTTCCGTCCTTCAGATATGATGTTAAACGGACGTCTCCCTGTTCGGGTCGGACGTTAAAGGTCACTTCGAAATGTCTCAAAGAGCTTCGCAGAATATAGTGTAAAGTGAATCGACTGCGTACTTTGTGGGCAAAACGCAGCCGCCAATCGCGCACAGCAGCGTCCCCACACACAGTCGCGGATTCAGTGACCAAATCATTATTTTTTTTTAAGGTTTCGCTCTGCCCGGGAATCGAACCTGGGTCCTCTTGCTTGCGAGGCAAATGCTTTAACCGCAGTGCTATGGGACTCCACAATGCAATAATACAGTGATACATTTAACAGACCATCGCAGAGTAAGCGAGCTTTCAACCCACGGTTGATAATAATAATAATAATAATAATAATCCTTGCATTTGATATAGCGCTTTTCACGTCGGGAGGACGTCCCAAAGCGCTTCACATAACACACTGTAAAGTGAATTGACTGTATATTTGTGGGCGAACGCGGCAACCAATTGCGCACAGCAATGTCCCACAAACAGTCGTAGATTGAAAATGACCAATTAATTATTGTTTTGGGTGTTTGGAGGGATTATTATTAGGCTCTGTGTGGGGTAAGGAAACTTGCCCGAGGTTTCACCCTCTGCCGGGGATCGAACTCAGGTCTCTCACTTGCAAAGCGAGTGCTCTAACCACTGAGCTACAGGACTCCATGCCCTGCCAAAGTGAGCACCAATGACAGGTCGAATGTCTATTCAAACGTACACAAAGATCACACCACTGTATTATTTACTTTCACCTTTGTGGCTTCCAGAGAGTAAAAGATTTATGTCGATGCCAATGTACCTCTTTGCTCCCTGAACGTCCCTAATCTGTTTTCCTGATCTTGCTATCTATCTGGTGCTTTCTGAATTGTTTATCTTACTATCGATTTGGCTTTAAGCAAACTCCCTCTTTGTTTTCGGTCCATTCTGTTTTCCCAGATCCACGTCTCCAGCCGTTCCTATTTCTTCCTGATCCACAACTGGTCTGGATCAATACCTGAACCAATATCTACCAGGATCTGCCCCCCACCCCCCACCCCCCCAGCCCCCACTCGCTTCCCCCTCCCTCCGCTCGTCAAAGCCGGAATAAAGAAATCTCAACTACTGCTCTTACATTTCAAACAGGTTCAACACTGGACAGCAGTCTACAGTCAGCTCGTGTCACTGACACGGGCAATCAGTATAAAGTCCTTGTACATTGGACACTGTCCCTTACTGTTCGGTTATGGCTATATTCTCAATCGCCAAACTGTCAACATCACCTTCTGCCCAACCACTCGCAGAAATTGTTACTTTACACTATTTCTACACGTTGTACACAACCGACCAACACCGGTTTGCGTAAAATTTAAGCTCGTCACGTGAAGAACTGACATGTTTGGCCCCTCGTGCGCACTGGTCAATAGTTTTTCCGGCACTCCCTCTTTTGAATAAAATTGGTCACTCACTTCATGCCTGTTTGGCAGGGCATTAAAGTGCTCATATTGGCTGCCACATTCGCCCACAAAAAATACAGTTACTACACTTAATAATAATAATAACCTTTGCGTTTGATAGAGCGCCTTACCACGTCATTGAGACTCAAAGTGCTTCACAGAACATATACTGTAAAGTGGACCGACTGTGTACTTTGTTGGTGAAACGCAGCAGCCAATTGCGCACTGCTGTGCCCCACAAACAGTCGTGGATTGAGTGACCCCAATTTTTTATTTGACGGATTATTACCCCCGGAAACCAATTCGCCAATCGACTAACAACCGGGTTCCTACTTGCCAGGTAAACAGAGACTTGTGGAGTAAGGAAACTTGTTGAAACTAGCCTAAAGTTTTGCCCGGCCCAGGAATTGAACCCGGGTCCTCTCGCTTGCGAGGCGAGCACGCTAACCACTACGCTTAGGGACTCCAGATTGCACTGACTCGAAGGCCCCTTTTTCATCGCTTCCAATGCGATAACCAATGTTAGCTTTCCGGAACGTGCAATGCTCTTTCTGCCACAGGTACGCACGGATTAAATGGACCACAGACGGTGTACGGAGTGGCCGGAGGGTCAGTGACTTTGAAGTGCCAGTACAGTAACATCTACGCTAACCAGAAAAAATACTGGTGCAAGGGCGGACGTTGGTGGATATGCACCGTGATGGACCAACGAGCACTCATCACAGACGATCCGAATTCGGGGGCATTTTCTATAACGATGGATGAACTGACTTTGGAGGACACCGGTTCGTACTGGTGCGGGATAACACAGAAAGGCAGAGACCTAATGTTACGCGTCGAGCTCCAGGTCATTGACGGTAAGGCAACATTTACCAACTCCCAGTTCGACGTTTGACCTTTTACTCCACCCAAAAAGAAAAGAACCAATCGTTCTGACAAAGAGAGCGGCCCCTCCGATGGAATGCTCGGAAGGGAAGCGGTCAGGAGTTCCTCAGAGGCACTCAAGCGATGGTTAGATAATGAAGGACCCCAACCACCCGTTTTGACCGAATCAACACAACCCAAATGTTCTCCTTTTTTGAACATATAAAGAAAAAAAGTCAAGGGTCCTTGTCTGTACCGTTCTTCCTGGTCTTTTTTTTGATTTCACACTCCTCTTCAAATCCCTTAATACCCTGGCACTTTCCTACCTCTCCCACCTGCTTGCTCCCCAATCCACTGCACGTTGCCTCCACTCGACTGGTTTCCGGCCTCCTGCATACCCCTCATGCCCTCCGTTCCATCATCGGCGGCCGCACTTTCAGCCACTAAGCCCCGAGACTCTGGACTACTCTCCCTCTAGGTTTAAAGAACACCAGTTGTCCTTTCAGTAAAAAAAAAGTTCATTCACTTCATGGCTGCCTGTGGGATGTCGCTGTGCGCAAACTCGCTATCGTGTTCGCTTACAGATCGATAGACAATCACTACACTTTGCAGTTAAACTTGCGAAAAGCTTTGAGAAGTTTGAGGACGTGACAAGGTGCTGTAATCAAATGCGGGGATTATCATTTATCGCCCACAGGCCCACATCTACTGTCCGGACCTCAAATGGTGTTGGGGTTGCCAGGAGAGTCGGTGACTGTAGAGTGCCAGTACGACGTGCATTATAGGAGCCACGAGAAGTATTGGTGCAAAGGGTTGGAGCAGGAGTCGTGTGTTATATTGGCCAGAATTGACGGCTTACAGGAAGAGCACATCAGCAGAAAACTATTCCTAACGGACAATCAGACCAGCGGCGTATTTTCAGTAACAATGAACGAACTGTTGATGGAAGATGCCGGCCGTTACTGGTGTGGGATAAAGATAACTAAATTCAATATCATGGTGCCCGTGGAACTGAACATCACTGACTGTAAGAAACATTTCATTTCTTCAGCCAGTGGACTATCGAGCGCGCCCGATTTATTTCCTGGTCCCCGGAAGGCGTTTGATAAAAGTTCCATGTGCGAGACTTTTAAAGTTTAGGGCTCGTATAATTATCGGCAAGCGGGCTGGATTGTAAAGTGGGAAGAAGAGGGTGGTGATAAATAGGGAAAGGTCTGTCCGGAATTCTTGGGAGTGCTGCGAGGGTGTGTTTTGGTTACTGTGATAATCGCAACGTGATTTAGGAATATCAAGGGATATGGGGCAAAGGCGGGCAATTGGAGTTGAGGTGCAGATCAGCCCTGATCTAATAGAATGGCGGAACAGGCTCGAGGGGCTGAGTGGCCTCCTCCTGTTCCTACTTTCACTCAGACACATACAGATGCCCACTGCGCTCGACATGTTTCTGGTTTGGGGCTGAGGTTGGCGGGAAAGTGGAGCTATAGCTCCTGTGGCTCTCTGGCAGCAACTCTCTCACTGTGTTATTGTTTCAGCAGCTTATACGGTGGGATCCCAACCAAATAAACCTCCGGGAAATAGAAGGTAACAATACAATGTGTATATTTTAAGTCTATCTGTGTGTGTGTACATGTCATATGTATCAGCCTGGCTCAGTTGGGGCATTCTTCTCTTCAAGTCAGAAATCTGGGGGTTCAAGCTCCACATCAAGGCAATGGAGCTCATAGTCAGTAAAATCCTGTAAGTTATATCAAATAAACCAATCGATGTACGCGTGTGTATGTATATTGTGTGTATCTCAAGGGGAAGCTAACCGGAACGTGAGACGTCTCGAAGACGTGATAAGGCGCTATATCAAAAATGCAAGGATTATTATTATTCTAATTAACTGTACCTTATTCCTTTACTTCTCTCTTAGCTATGGGGTATCCACCACGTTGCTGGTTCCATTAATTGTCGGTTCAATCGTAGTTGTCCTGGTGATCACCATCTTCATCATCAGATACGAAAAACAATCCGTAGCCTGTAAGTGACACGTTCAAAGAGAACTGAGCGGGTTATTTTAGTCGCAACCCCACTAGAGGCAAAGCAGAGACCGGCCCAAAACGTAGAGTTACAATCATTTTACATCCATTTGACCCAGGTAGAATTCAGACTCTTTTGCCAGAGTCAGTTCGATTTAATACATCGAATTGATCCATCATCACATTTTCGGCTCTAGTTTGCAGCATTGGAGCGAAACCTTAGGCGAGTTTCCTTAATCCACAACTAGCAGTAAGTAGGAACCCTGTTGTTAGTGAATTGACAAATTGCTTTTCCAGGGGTAGTAATCCCTTCAAAAAATATATTGCTCAGTCAAACCATGACTGTTTGTGGGGATGCTGCTGTGCGCATTTGGCCGTCCGGTTTTGCCCACAAAATACACAGTCAATTCACTTGACAGAATATTCTGCGAAGCGCTTTGAGGCATCTCAACGACCTGATAAGGTGCTGTAACAAATGTAAGGATTATCCTTAGTATTATTTCTTAATCGGAAATGTATCATTCATTACGACACACATTTAATCTGATTCATTGGTACTGGATCTCGTTTCTGGACCATTTCTAGGTGGGAAAGGGAAGCCAGATGAGGAAGAGGTTGACCCCGTCTTCAAAGCTTTTGTAAGTGTGCAACTACCTTGTTCTACATGCGGTAAAGTTTGGTGTTTAAGGCTAAAGCTAACTCACATAAGCAGCACTTTATGAAGCATCATTAACTCTACCCTATGTTAATCAATTGTGAGTCGATGGTTTAAGGGAATTAATCGAATTAAATATATATATTTTTTAAGAAACAAAAATGAGCTTAATTGTCTCAGCTAAGCGAGTCCTCACTTTTAGCTACAGATAATTAGTAAGGGACAAAAAAAACCAGAGTCCCACGTTGGGATCTGGAGCTCACGGTCTAGACTGACACTCCACTGCGGGGCTGTTGGAAGTGCCGTCCTTCTTGAACCAAGATACCATCTGTGCCTGTTCAGGTGGACATTACAGATCCCAAAAGAAAAGAGAAGGATGTTTCTCTCTCCCCAGTGTCCTGGCCAACAACCCACCAGATAAAATTAGACATTCATTTATTTCGTGGCTATTTGTGAGGCATCGCATGCATTTGCAAATTTGCCTGTCATGTTCACTTACAAATATACGGCCACTGCCCTTCACAGTAATATCCTGCAAAGTGCTTTGAGGCGTTTCCATGTTGAGATTAGGTGCTATTTCAAATCAAAGGCAAAAAAGGATTATTACTATTATAAGGAAACAAAAGGAAATGATTTTTAAATTTGCTTCTTTTTTTATTTATTGGAAATAGATGTATTGATCCGGGTCGAAACTGAACAGAGACGGACAGAGTTTTATTTCATGCCTCTTTTTGAAGTCTTTCAGAGATGACGGACAAGATAATCTGTACAGCACGGTGGTAACTAAGCCGGGGACGCAGACAGATCAAGACTTTCTAACTTATACCAAAATGAAAGGTGTCCACGGTCACAATAACGTGATCCAGTTGCACAACTCGGGACCTGTTCCGCCATCAGTTGAATTTTCTACCCTTCGATTGGAATCATAATGCTTCGCCAACTCTCAGTACATCTACAGAAACCTAGCATTAAGTACTCACAACCCACCACCAACAAGGACAACACCCTGCATTTACGTAGTGCCATTTCACCTCAACTTTAACCAAACCCATGATTACTAAGTCTCCGAAGTTTATGTTAAACCCCCATTGTCTGACCATTCCAAAAGTTTCCTTACTCCGCACACCTCTGTTTACCTAGCAGTAGGTGGGAACCCGGATGTTAGTCGACTAGTGGATCGCTTTCCGGAGGTAATAATCGCTCCAAAACAAATAATAATAATTATTTGGTCACTCAATCCATGACTGTTTGTTGGGACAATGCTGTCCACAATTGGCTGCCACTTTTCGCCCACAAAATCAGTCAGTACGCTTTACAGTATGTATAATAATAATCCTTGCATTTGACATAGCGCTTTATCACGTCTTCGAGACGTCTCAAAGCGCTTCACAGGATACACTGCAAAGTGTATTTTGTGGTAGAAATGTATATCCTGTGAAGCGCTTTGAGACGTCTCAACAATGTGATAAGGCGCTATATCAAACGTAAGGATTACTATTATTAAATGAAGGTCAATTGAAAGAGCTTTATTAGGTCCAAGAGCTTTCAATCGGCTCCCTGTTCATCAAACCAATTCCATGTTCACATCCACACAGCTTTTGTGGCGGAAAACGGCAAGTTTTCCGCCACAAAATGAGGCGTGAGGCCACAAAATGACATGAGGCGTACAGTGGTAACAGGTTATCATTCACACCCATGCTGATAATCCCACCTCCCACTTTCAAAGCCGCCTTGTTTTGTCTGAGTCCACAAACTGTACGAGAGAAAAATCATGTTCAATTCACACAGAGATTTGTCACTTCGATTCAAGTATTAAAGGCATGTCCAACAATTACTTAACTCCAGTGTTGTTTGTTTCCCCGTCTCCCTTTCAGGAGAATGTCCTAAAAATAAAACCAGAGCGTTGAATCCCGGGAAAAATGACGTCTTCCCGTCCCACCATTGGCGGGTCGAGCATTCAGCATTTCTACTCCCACACTTTGGAACTCTATCCCACAATCCCTCCGCCTCACACCCTCTCTTGCCTCCTTCAAATCCCGTCTAAAGACCTTCGACCGTGCCTTCGACCACCTTAACCACCCCACCCCACTGCCATTCACCCCTCCTGACCCCAACACCCAGTTTGGGTCCAAAAACCCCCTAACTGTCCAGCGCCCTGGGACATCTTTCTGACGTGAAGGGCGCTACACAAGTGCAATTTGTTATTGTTGTTACCCGTTGACGTGTGTGTAGAACAACTTAATTTCCCGCGATTCAAGGCGATTCCAACGCATGGTGGCAAATTCTCTCGTCACAGCAAGAGCACTTACCGGCTACATTGAATTACGTATGCACAGCGTAGGTCATCGATTAAATCAGACTTTTTACGACTCGGATTCGACGTAAATCATATTAAATGTTATGGACCCGACTGATAGATTTATGGGAGTTTTATTGAAGTAATAATAAACTTCTAATTTAAGTGCACTTGCATTTACTTTGGGGCTTTTCACGTGGGGTATCGTGTCTAACACAGTCATTATTCATAAGCGCCTTCGAACGTCCTCTAGACCTGAAAGGCACTCTATTAATTAAATTAAATTGTAACTGCATTTATTACACAATTGGTCAGTTTCATGTTTACTAGAAGGCGCAATTGAGGAAATAATGTGAAATAGAGGAAGAAAAACTCAAAACTTTTACAATGAATCCCAAGGGAGGGGAGGGGAAGGGGGCTGGCCGATGGCATGATCACCAGGTCAAGGGGGTGGCCATGGATGTGGGTGGATTCACACGGATGTGGGTGGATGAGGAGGGAGAGGTTGAGGGAAAAGAGGAGGGAGAAGTCGGCAGAGATAGAGCCGGAGGGGCTGAAGTGGAGGTTGAAGTAGCCTAAGATAAGGAGGCGTTCAGAGCAGAGGGAGAGGGAAGGTAGGAGGGTGGAGATGTCCGAGAGGAAGGTGAGAACAGGCTGCAGGTCACAGAAGGAGGCAGATTCCTTAAATAATGGAGATATTTCCAAACAAAAAGCTCACCAGAACTGCTCGGTCACCTGAAGTAGCAAAGCATCAAACAGCCTGAATGTCTTTCTTGAGTGCAAGTTGTTGTTGTTGTTGTTGTCGTTGAGGGGGTGGAAAAAAAACACCATGTTTCACCCTGAAGAGCTCATTGCATTAATTGCATTTGTTGACCAACTGCTCAGTTTCCTGTTCAGCAGAAGAGTGTGAAACCAATCCAATGACGTGAAATACAGGAAGAGACAAATTCAAGGGCTCTACAGTTGATGCTAATTTCCTGGTTAGAATATGGCACAGAAAATGGGTTTAATCGCTCTGTTTATTCTAACTTCAGTATCGGGTAAGTCCCATTTAAATGACCCTTTGATTTTCTTAGGCAGGTGTTCACAGTCACACAAACTGAGCTCACACGTGGCCTGGGGTCACTTTGCTTTGGTCACTTAAAGAACGAGATACACCATCCTGTAAGTCAGTGTGAATATTTCACCATCCACACGCTCACTGGCTGTTTCTTGTTCTGCTGTTTTATTTTACCCTTTTCTTCCTCGGAATTTCTTCCCACATCAGATACCTCACAGCGTGGGTTTGGGCCATGAAAACAATCATGTCATGGAAACAAGTTGATTAAAACAAAACTTAGCCACTGTTTCACAGGACGTGGTGAAATGAACAATTGGTTTTAATCACTCTATGGGAAGTAGGAGATGGTCCATTTACAGAGGAACAGTGGAGGGCTGTAGCTCAGTGGTTAAAGCACTCGCCTCACAAGCGAGAGGACCTGGGTTCGATTCCCGGACGGGGCAAAATGTTTCCTTACTCCACACACCTCTGTTTACCTTGCAATAAGTAGGAACCCGATTGTTCATCGGGGGCAATAATCTCTTTAAAAAATGTTTTAAATAATAATAATTTGGTCACTCAACCCACGATTGTTTGTGGGAAACTGCTGTGCGCAATTGGCTGCCACACTTCCCCCCAAAATACACAGTCAATTCACTTTACAGTATACTCTATGAAGCACTTTGAGACGTCTCGAAGACATGATAAGGCGCTTATATCAAATGCAAGGATTATTATTATTTAAGCGCTCGGGGATTCTACCCCAAGTGAAGTGCATTATATAAATGCAAGTTCTTGTTATTATTATTAGTTTGGTACTAAATAGATTCATAGAATGTTACGGCACAGAAGGAGGCCATTCGGCCCAGCGAGTCTGTGCGGCTCTTTGACAGAGCAAGTCACTCTCACTAACCCCAATCACCAGCTTTGTCCCCATAACCCTGCAAACCCGTCTGCCCAAGAGACCCGTCCAGTTCTCTCTTAAAAGCGGTTTATAAAAATACAGACACTGTTTCTGGTACACTTAGTAACTGACTCTCACCGTTGTATCCCTACAGGTTCATGTCAGCTAACAGGACCGTCCGAGGTGTCTGGAGTATTGGGAAGTTCAGTCACTGTCACCTGTAACTATAGTCAGGATTACAGGGATAATGAAAAATACTGGTGTAAACCTATTACTTTAATTTATTGCTCTACTCTGATTTCTACTGGTGATCCTCCAAGAGGAAGACTGTCAATCAGTGATAACAAGACGCGTGGAATGTTTTCAGTAACTATACGTGATCTAACGAGGAGCGATGAAGGAGTGTACCGGTGTGGTGTACACACTCGACTCCTGAAATTCAATTTAAGGTTTGATGTCGAATTACGGATTGCTGAAGGTAAGATGTCAATTGCCATTTTTATTCTAGTTTGATAATGAGAGTAGATCTCAGGTTATTCCTAACAGTTGGCGAGATGTGGGACAAATGCAACGCTAAGATTATGAAGTATAAAAACAGAGAAGTCGCTGGGAACATTCAGTATCTATATCTCCATAGATATTCCCAGCGATTTCTGTTTTTAATTCAGATTTCCAGCATTTGCAATGTTTCACCTGTTGTCTAAGGTTATTAATGTGCAAATCTGTAGCTGTGGAATCTGATTCTCTGAATTTGTAACTTGGTTCAAAATTTCCACAGATGATTCCTAACCCCAACCCTTTGCTCAGCCAAGAAATGTAACATCGAACACATACTGAGTGAAATTGATCTTTAAAGCAATGAGACCAATACCTTTAGCTCACAAAGAGGATTTTTTTTACAATAAGAACATTACACAGCACGTTTTCTTCAGTGTTGACGTTTACGTTTTTTTAAAAAAAAACAGCATTATGAATTGAATTTGATATTACTTAGTATCTGCTTCTCAGTCAGCCATGGTTAATTCACAGATCAGTGACTATCCGAGACCTATTCACTTAACATAAAACACAGCAAGACATTTCTTCTGAAGAACATGGTACAATTTACTCAATCACAGACTCTACCCAATAAGTACTGTAGAACTTACAAGAGTTTGACAAACTGTGGACGCTCTGAAATGTTACGTTAAGAGAGTAGCAAACCCCTGACTGTCCAACGCCTTGTGACGTCCTCCTGACATGAAAAGCTCTCTATAAATGTCATTTGTTGTTGTAAATGTAATCTGGAGCCACATGGAATTCTATCCCACTAACATACACAAGATGTTTAACATATAAACTGTTCACTCTGCTGATGTCCTCCATTTTTTCAATGGTCCCCAGCACCAGGAGCAAAGACAACGTTGGGTCCAACTACCAGGACATCAACACGTCCAGCGACCAAGTTACCAACACGTCCAACCAGCAAGTTACCAACGCGTCCAACTAACAGGGAATCCACAAGTACCACTGTTTCCAATACCGCAGCTCCTGGGTAAGACCGTGGTAACATCCTACTATACCTCTGCTGCAATCTCTCCATTGCTATAATGTCCTTTCTGGAGCAATGCTGACCAGAACTGCACACAGTTCTCCAAATGTGGTCTAACCAAAGTTTTATACGAATTCATCACTATGGCTAATGATTCCTTTTGTATTCGATTACTCTGGCCATAAACCAAGTACTATTTTTATTCTTTATAAAAAGCCTTGTTAATTTGCATAGCCTTGTTTATTTGGTTTTTTTTCACAGCGACTTCATTTGGAGCCTCGTGAACTGAAACCTTCGATCTCTTTTCCCCGATACTCACCTTAGATTATTGCACCGCAGGGCTTTTGTGATCTTCCTTATTCCTCTTACCAAAAGGATCATTTCTTCATGTTAAATTTCATCTGCCCATTCTGCAAGCTTGTTTATATCTTCCCGCATTCTTTTGCTATCCTCTTTATTATTCCCCATCCCCCAGCCCTCCCACCACTCCCGTTTGATGTTATCTGCAAATTGACAAGTTCTGCAATCATTTTCCAAGGAAAATAACACTGATGTCAATGACTCTTTTTAGGCAATTCTATAATGCACAAATTCTAAATGACAAATTCAGGCTGACATTGCACGCAGCATCGTAAACGAATACAAAAAAAAAAATTAACTGACTGGTCTCAATCGTAGCTCGAATAGAAAGCACTTTGTTAATAGTAATCAAATGAATAAATAATTTGGTCACTCAATCCACGACTGTACGTGGGACACCGCTAGTACGCAATTGGCTGCCGTGTTTCGCCCACAAAATATACAGTCAAATGCTGTACTTGTATTTTTCCAGGAATGCTATGAGTTCCATTGTCCTTCCAGTGCTTGGAGTCATCGTCTCGCTTCTGTTTGTTGCCATTGCTGTCTTTTGCGTGAAGGCGAGGCAGCGCAAACACGTTGGTGAGTTCAGGCACAACCAAACCAAAGGAAACGGGCCACTCCGCTTTTAAGCTATTAGATAGAAAAGGCACGGTTTAGGCACGTATCTATTGTGTGCCTAAACATTATTATTATTATGCCACGTTGCGCCCACAAAATATACAGTCAATTCACCTTACAGTATATTCTGTGAAGCGCTTTGAGACGTCTCAACAACGTGATAAGGCGCTATATCGAATGCAAGGATTATTATTAATATTATTATCTAAGAGAGTAGCCATGATGAGATGAAGTGCGCTGTACATTTCCTTGATTATAAGCAAACTGAGCCACCCCCTCTTGGGGATTTGCACGGTTGGAAACTGGAGAATAGAAGCAAGTATCTACTGCAAACCTCAACTAAAATCAAGTTGTCTCCAGTGAATCCATTACTTCTCTCCCCCCACCCGCAAAGTAAGCCAACAGGACAACGAGAGGCAGTTCATGTGGTGGACTGCTTACAATTAAGATCGCTTTAAATAACAGTGCAACACACAGCTGTTCCTGTTGCAGAGGACTTCAGTTTGTGCTGTAACATCTTAATTCGTCAATTACATTCCATCAGATTTGGCAAACTATTAAATGTTCATACGAACTCACAGAAACCCTTAATCCTCCTCTCCCTTTTTCCCCCCATTTCACGCGCAAGGTATGGTATAAAGACAAGTCAGAAGACAGATCAGGGATGCCAGAATTTAAGCAAGTTCAAATTCAATAAGTGTCTCTTCTGAAATGTGGTTTTATATATTTTTTTAAAAGGTATAAATGAGAAAGACAGGATTGCTTTAGAAAATCAAGCGGGGAACAATCAGGTAAGGAGCAAGCGCCACGTCAGGCCCCCACATGCGCTCTTATGTTTTTCTATTATGTAGAATGCTTTAACTGCTGTAAAACATTTTAAGACATCTTCTCAACATGGAAGAGCTGACGTGCCCGCAAAATATATGATCCATCCACTTCACAGCATATCCTGTGAAGCGCTTTGAGACGTCTCAAAGACGTGATAAGGTGCTATATCAAATGCAAGGAATATTATTATTATTATATTATATCATAGTTGATCTGTACCTCAACAATAGAATGTTTCAAGAGAAAACTCTGCGCTGGAAGCCAGGTTAATAGTTGAGTATGCTGGTATAGGAAGCAGTGATCGCTTCCTGTTGATAACTTCTGATGTTGCTATTGCTAATATACTCCATTTATCTTAGCGTTCCAACAATGGAGGAGAATTGACGTACTCACTCGTGCAGTTTGTACCCCCGGCTGATGTGAACAACGTGTATGTTAATGTTAAGGAGCTCAACACGCAAGAAGGCAGCCAACCAGCCAGCACAAACCAACCGGTTTCAGAATCCGTCATATATTCTACAGTCGTCTGAAATAAGGCATTTTGTTTGCAAGACCTCCAATGTGTGGGATGAACTTCAGCAATGAGAACCAAATGCCACGTAAGGAATTCTCAAGTAGCCGCAATAATGAGATTTTAATGACAATGTCAAAAGAAAAAAGTACCAGAGGGGAGGGGAGAAGAATTTTTTTTAAACCCGAGAGTTGTTACGGTCTGGAATGCACTGCCTGAAAGCAGATTCGCCCAAAGGTTTCAAAATGGAATTGGATAGGTACTTAGAAAGGAAAAGTGTGCAGGGCTATGGGGTAAGAACGGGCGGGGGAGTGGGACTAGTCGGTAGCTGTTTCAAAGAACCGGCACAGGAACGATGGGCCAAATGGCCTCCTTCTGTGCTGTAAGATTCTATGATTCTACGACCTCCCACCCAATGGTTCGTGCAAAGAATAAGCCTAGTAAGCAGCGGGGAATTAAATTAATTGTGCACCTTCAGTGTCCCTTTGCTCGAAAGACTTTTCTGTTTTTGTGCCGGAAATTAGCACGATTCATCAACCAATCTGCTACCAAACTTGCCAAAAAAAAATATCACAAACATATTGCAATAGCAAAGTCTTGCTACTTAAAAGAATCCATATAAATGCAAGTTGTTGCTCTTGATTTCCGAACTTCGCAGCTTCCCGCCCAATAAAAATGAACATTAATCCATTTTCCAAAACCTGGTGTTTTTAAGGGAATGGTGTTTGTGAAAATTTCAAGCTTTCGCTATCTCATTGTTTTTTTGAGCTCTGCCTTTCTTCCATTTTTTCTCGTAAATTTATGCTTCCCACATGTCCTTCGTCAAAAATAAAAGATCCTTTGGCTTTTTTATTACTGCAGTGACTCGACTCTAGACTACTTTGGTTGAATTTCTGTTCCCCATAATTAATTCTTCTTGGTTTGCGAAAGTTGCCTCTCACCCAGCCTACTTATAATAATCCCTGCATTTCGATAATACTTCCCATTCATTCTACTCCATTTTAGAATTGATCACATATGGTAACTATCGTGAAACAGAGCAGTGAAGAAGTTGCGCGATTCCCATCACCAACCTTTGAAACTGAAAGCGCATCAAAGGTGTGACTTTCTCTCTATTCTGTAAGGTTTCTGTAAATTAAGTGGTTGAGGGAGTCCACTCTATCGCTGGTCTTCAACACTCGGTATGGAAGGTATCGAAGGCTGTACAAGCCATTTGGCTGTTGCGTTGTTTCCTGAAGAAGATTAAAGAGGAACAAAACTGTTGAGGCTTCAAGGTATTGATTTTTTAGGCTTTGGGGAGATGATCATAGCAGATCTGTTTGAAATCGAACAGGAAAAAAGCTGAAAAAGAAACACACAGTTTTTGTTGCACATAAACAAACCGTATATTAGACAATTGTTAACTGCTGCCAATGAATGCAAACTTGATCTAAAGAAATATGAAGCTCAACCATATAAAATGTCATTTCACTAATGGATTTCTTAGGGGTGATAATAATAATAATAATCCTTGTGTTTGCTATAATGCCTTATCACGTTGTTGAGACGTCTCAAAGCACTTCTCAGGATATACTGTAAAGTGAATTGACTGTATATCTTGTGGGCAAAATACACATGTAATATGTGATGAACCATCCTACAATGGTTTAGAAAGACAATTTCTGAACAAACACCAGGAAGGTTTTTTTTTATACACACAAGATTACATTTGTAAAGTGCTTTTCATGTCGGGAGGACGTCCCAAGGCGCTGGACAGTGTAAAGCATTTCACAAACACACACACACAGAGGATAATGAATGACTGAAACAAGTTACCAGTAAGAGAGAGAGAGAGGAACTAGGATGCTGGACTCATTTAAGAAACAGCTCGATGTTTTAAGAGGAAGATGGTAATGTGCTTATTCTGGAGGGATGAGATTGCCCAAATCGCCCAATAGCCCTTCTGCCCAACTGAAGCTCCATTGTGAATTTGTGAACCTTTCTGCTGCATTTTACAAAAGGGTTACTAGGGATGAGTGGATACAGTTATCAGGAAATATTGGGCTGGCTAGAGATCTCTCTCTCTCTCTTCTGGAGATGAGACTTTCAATTATTATTGAAGAAAATTTAGAAGGCGATGGACAAGCGCTCCTGACAAAGTCAGTATCACTTTGTGTGACATCTACTCTAACCCTTTAGGCACAAACCTAAAGTGTAAAGAAATGTTTACACTTGTGGATGTTGGAACAAGGAGATTTCCAGCGAGATTACTCAATTAGTGGAATCGGACATGGAGATGTCATCCAGTAATGGTGACCGTGCGGGGCACAGAGCAGGGGGCAAGGTGGGGAGAGGGAGGTGATGGGGGCAGGGAGGGAGGGGGAGAGGGAGAGGGCATTTACAGTGGGAGTTCTAGAGGGTGGGGACAGGGACAGTGTCTGAAAGTTCGGTTGCCTGGGGTGGGGTGAGGACTGTGGAGCTGGTCCAGGTGTGTGGAGCGAAGGGGGAAGAGCAGGAGGACAGGCTGCAGGTCACAGAGGGAGGCAGATTCCTTAAATAATGGAGATATTTTGGTTCGAAAATGGCACAGAAAATGGGTCGAATCGCTCTGTTTATTCTAACTTCAGTATCGGGGAAGCCCCATTTAAATGACCCTTTGATTTTATTAGGCAAGCGTTTACAGTCACGCAAACTGCCCTCACATGTAGCCTGGGGTCACTTTGTTCTCTTTCCACAACTGTACACGTAGACTTCCTCCATTGAACTTCCCTTTAGTTATTGGTTTGAAAACTGAGCTTTTTGGCTTGTGAAGCAACAATTCCTCACTTTGTGTTGCACATTTCCTGAAACTTCTGATCAGAAAGCACTTCGACAGTGTATATACATACTGTCGTTTCTCGCGAAGACTGAATGTGGATCTCATCACTGGAAACTATGAAGTTACTGGCTTTGCTGCTCCTCACTTTTATATCAGGTAAGAACATCCAAACCAAAATGTGCAATAGCTCCACCTTGCTCTCTATACTTGTGCGTTGTGTCCCTTCCAAATTAACATCAAGCGGCACCTCAGTGGCTCAGGGCGGAAATATTTTGTCTGCTCTGGCATTAAATTGTGAGACCCGAAGTCACAGGTTTCTGTCCAGGTCTTTGCTGAGCTGATCTCACTGGAGATGCTCCTGATCATTGCTCACAGGCTCCTTCTAGAAAATGTTCATGTTGGAATTGGGCTGAACTCGGCCTTCCGCCAGTTAAATGACTGCCAACACTCTCACATGAACACTGAGCTATCAGCTATCCCACAGGTGCTGGCACAGGTGGATGGTTCACTGTAACTGTTCCACAGACTGACTGATCAAGGCTTTGTTTATTTGTGTTTATCCAAACTTTTTCATGTTACATTTAATCAACAGGTTCATCAGGACGAATCGAATCAAAAGTGCTAATGGCTAAGCTGGGAGAAAACATCATTATAAAGTGTCAATACCCGAAAGTAACCAGGAAATCAAGGAATTGTTTGTGTAAACAAACCAAAGATAATTACTGCAATTATCTTGTATGTACTGATGGAGATTTCAACACAGTATATGATGAGAGAGCTTCAATGACTGGGAGCAATGATGGTCCAATTTCTGCTGCCGTGAAGACACTTGAAGAGAAAGACACTGGGATATACTGGTGTGGAAAAGATAATGGTAAAACTATAGAAATTTCAGAGGTTGTGCTGCTGAAAGTGTTCAAAGGTAAGAATGCCTTTACATTGACTGATACATTGCAAACCAAATTGTGCTGGAAAGTGCAAACTATACTGTGCTGAGTAGACAGGGTCCAACTTAAACACATCAGCGTTTACATCGCACTTTACCCAAAGGACTGTCCGAGTATAAACCTATTTACACTTCAATAGAGCCTGACACAAGATGGTCAGATACTTGTCAACAAACATCGCATCAGATTGGACAATGAGTAGAAGCAAAATGTTCTCTCTTTTTAATGTCCTATTTTGTTCACCAACAGGTACAGAGAAACCAATGAAAAGACTGGTCGCTGCTGAACTGGGAGAGCGAATCTCTGTGACGTGCCAATACAGCAAGAAACTGAGCGATTATAGCAAGTTCTTTTGTAAAGTAATCTCCAATAACGAGTGTACTCGTATAGCAGATTCTAATGGGGCTGTGAATGAACCGTATAAAAGAAGAGTTTCCATTACTCATAAAGGGAAAAGTCAGGTCATTTCCATTATCTCAGCAAAGGAGGAAGATGCTGGGGAGTACTGGTGTGGAGCAGCAAGTGGGAATGAAGTAGAGTTCACACAGGTTAAGATACTACAGATCTCTCATGGTAAGAATCAAGAACATGTAGTACAAGATTATAATAAAAATGTGTTGAAAGTGAGTATTGTTTCCCTGAGGAATGAATATCAGGTGAGAGCTCTAAGAGCTCCAGGACTCTACCCCATGTGAAGGGCGCTATATAAATGCAAGTTGTTGTTATTGTTGCTACCAAGTGAACCCAGCTTATAACTATCCTGTCCCACTGAAGATTCGGGCAGTTAATTTTTCCCCCATTTATTTCACATTCTCTTGGGGATGACGAGGGGCTGGTGATTATGAATTATCATCTGTGCTGCTGTATTTACTTTGATGTATCTCGCAGGATCAACCGCCTCATCGTTCATTGACACAACGTTCACCACAGCTATCACCAGACCTATCAACAGTTTTGCAGGAAGGTAAGATTTAATTATCAGTGCATCAATCGATCTACATAACTCTGTCTGAAGGCACACCTAAGACAGGTTACTATTAATGAGACACTAATGAGACTATTTAGGCAAACTATTCCCACATATAGTTCTGTGAACCAATCACAATTGGGGAGGAATCCAACCTGGTTAAATATTTACTCTATTGTGCAGCATTTTGGAGCAAACATTTGGCAAACGGTTGAATTAAGCATCAACTTTGAAGAGGGTTTTTAGTTGAAGTTGGTTAAATTTATGGAAAACTGGATTCAAAATTAAGGCTGCATTTGTGAATTGGCCAAATGCTGGACTTTCTGAGGTGCTAAGAGTGTAAATCTAGATCCAGGTGGAATCACCATAGCCATTTCTGTGGTGCCAGGAGAGGAACAGGTTAGCAATATGTTTGCCACAACCACAAATTACATTTGTAAAGCACCTTTCATGTCAGGATGTCCCAAGGCACTGGACAGTCAGTGATTTGATTCCGAGCAGGGGTTGGAATCAGGAGGGGTGGAGGAAAGTGAGGGTAGGAGTAGGAAGGTGGCCAAAGATGCGATTGAAGAGGAGGGTCTTGTGACAGGCCTTGAAGGAGGCAATGGAAGGGGCGAAGCAGAGGGACTATGGGATGGAATTCCAGAAGAAGGTGTGTGGGGGAGAGGAGGGATGGTTGTGTGGAACTGATATAGTGATACTTAAATACTTTGAAAGTGATACTTAATTATCTTTAGCCTCAATGATTAGGTGGATTTTGCTTCAGTTTGGAAGGGATTGCTGGGTAGGTCAAATTGGCCAACTGAAAGGCTGCCCCTCTCAGCCTCAGCAGAACGGTTGAGCTCAAGTATCTCTCCGTCCATTGCTCTTCCTGACCAGGGGTCTGAGTGCAGTTGAAAACAGGACCTCTAGATTCAGTCTAATATCTTCAATTAAGAAGGGTCATGTAGTTCATACAAATCCCTGGTCGGGATCCGTAACTGTGAAGCGCTCTGAGATGCCGTCCGGCGGGGAGCGTTATATAAATCCAAGCTGTTGTTGTTGTTGTTCAACCCTGCCAAGTGCTTCGCTGTACAGAAAGGTCATCGGCCAAAACACAGAACAGTTCATGTTCATAAGAGACATTCCACTTAGGCACTTACATAAGCAAAACTCACTTTACCTACAAATCGTATCTGAAAGCCATAGTTGTACTTTGCTCATTAACACCTTTGTTCAACTGCAGAGAATGGAATACGTGGGACATCCTCCGCTGGATCTTCTTTGGGGTTCTGGCTCTTTGCCCAGTTTCAGTCCTAATCAGCACACATTTCTCAAAGAGCCATGGTAAGTTTCCTCTCACAGTAGTTGTAAAATATTATGACGTCAATCCCATCCGAAAAACTTTTCGCCATGTCTGCTTCTGTATTGTTGTGGGGGGGAAATGGGTTTGAGAACTGAACAATCATTCATTGATCTGTGCTGTCACCTCAGAACAAGCAATCAAATCACTGTGAATTCTGACCAAGCAAATCATGGCAATATTTGCTTGGGAAAGATGTCACTGTGTCAGTCAATGCCAAGTTCTCCACGTCAACCACCTTACTCCACGTCTCTGTTTACCTAGCAGTAAGTAGGAACATGGTTGTTAGTCGCTCGGCGGATCGATCGCTTTTATGGGGATAATAGTGGGTCACTGCTGTGCGCAAATGGCTGCCACGTTTTGTCCATAAAATACTGGGCAAAAATACAGTGTATTCTGTGAAGTGCTTTGAGACATCTCAATGACATAAGGCGCTATATCAAATGCAAGGAATATTATTAGCATATAATTATTAACATTTGTTTAATTCCATCCTCGAGGTAATGATGGCGATGAGGCGCCCATTGGAAATAGCCCTGGTAAAAGGTAATGATTGGGAAATACTTAACATTTTAATTCTCATATATTTTCTGCATCATGTTTACGGTTCTATTGCCATGATCACAGGCAGACTTCACACTATTGATGGTGATCCGAACTTGGACAATGGACTACAGGAACATCCAATGTCACAAGTCAATACATCCCAACAAAGACCTGAATTAAATAACCAGCCATATTGAGAAGTGAGACAATTGTCAGCCTCACCTGTAGCTTCACTTACAACCCAGACACTGACTGACAGTAACATGGTAACAGTGGAATGCTTCTGTGTGGGAACAATCCAAGACTTCATCTTCACTGTAGGTGGCTACAGTGCTCACATCCTAAATTGTACTTGAAAACCCAATCCCATTTCCTCCATGTCCCTTGCTGCACTAATGCCCAGCTCCACTGACCATTCAATGTACACTGTTACCAAGTGCAACAAAACCTCTCTGATAATCTTACAACAGTTTATATACGGGGGCCATTGTAAAAGGTAATATGAAAGGTGCATCATTTGCTACGAGTCTCTGAGCACATCTCAGCATGAATTTTGTGTGGTGGCGCATTGCTGTGCAATTGCTTTACCTTCTATGGACAGGAATTTGAGTTGGTCATTATCACAGAACTGCCAAGGAGATGAGCTCTCTGGAGCGTTTTTCAGCGTGTTTACGTGTGGATCATTCTTATATTGAGATTTCCGTTCAGTTTCCCAGACGAGGTGATTTCTGGCAGGGAAACGGACGAGGCTGCACAGATCAGAAGCATCACTGACTGAAGGCTACAGGTAAGGGTCAGCAACTGATGCATCAATGGCCCAGGATACCACTCGCTTCCTCGCAGAAGATCATTTCCATTCTTGCTCGCTATGCAATCGCTCGACTCATTATGTTTTATTACAAGCCTCAATGCTCTGCAAGACCAGAAAATACAAAGCTAATTTTGAGAAAAGGTTTTACATTTTACCCATCACCATGAACTTTAATATTGAAAATGTCACCATCAAGTACCTTTAACTCGAAACATGTATTAATGTCAATGCAATAAATTACTTATTGTTCACATCGTTACAGTTTTTTCCAGTAAGAATAAGTCATGTCTCATTCGGTAGTGAATTCCAGTCTATTAAATTCTATTCTACGTCTATGTTGCATTGTGTCATCTCATAACACTGAGTCCTCACAGTAAGTCCTCACAGTAACAACAATAATAAATTGGTCATTTTCAATCTACGACTGTTTGTGGGACATTGCTGTGCGCAATTGGCTGCCGCGTTCGTCCACAAATATACAGTCAATTCACTTTACAGTGTGTTCTGTGAAGCGCTTTGGGACGTCCTCCCGACGTGAAAAGCGCTATATCAAATGCGAGGAAAAAGAAAAGGAGATGTCTGGATCAAGGATGTCCTTTGGCCGATTGATCAAAAGACGGACAGAAAATCCAAACAACCAGCTCCCCATTTCAGCATCAAGTGGTTTCTTAAATGAGTTCAAGTGTCCTACCGTCTGTCAGGGAACCCATCCCAGCTGTCAGTTACCGCTATATACTCCCTGACGACTGTCCAATATTCCCCTTCACATCCCTGAGCCCTGTCAGGCTGCTGCCTTCGTAAAACAATCGGAAGCACTGTTGTGGATTGAAACTTTCTAGTCCACCAAACACTTTAATGACCTTTATTTGGTCGTGGAAACAAAGCAACCACTAAAAGCTCAACGGATTCCATGTGCAGCTACACAAACGCGCTCCTTAAAACCACAAAAGCATCACTTCTCTTTTTTTGGAGTCAACAGTTTGCAAACGTTTGTACTTAAGGAAGTTGTAATATTGCTATTTCGAGTGAGATTGCTCAATTAGTGGAATCGGACGTGGAGACGTGTTCTGGTAATGGCGACCGTGCGGGTCACAGAGCAGGGGGCAAGGTGGGGAGAGGGAGGTGATGGGGGCAGGGAGGGAGGGGGAGAGGGAGAGGGCATTTACAGTGGGAGTTCTAGAGGGTGGGGACAGGGACAGTGTCTGAAAGTTCGGTTGCCTGGGGTGGGGTGAGGACTGTGGAGCTGGTCCAGGTGTGTGGAGCGAAGGGGGAAGAGCAGGAGGACAGGCTGCAGGTCACAGAGGGAGGCAGATTCCTTAAATAATGGAGATATTTTGGTTCGAAAATGGCACAGAAAATGGGTCGAATCGCTCTGTTTATTCTAACTTCAATATCGGGGAAGCCCCATTTAAATGACCCTTTGATTTTATTAGGTAAGCGTTTACAGTCACGCAAACTGCCCTCACATGTAGCCTGGGGTCACTTTGTTCTCTTTCCACAACTGTACACGTAGACTTCCTCCATTGAACTTCCCTTTAGTTATTGGTTTGAAAACTGAGCTTTTTGGCTTGTGAAGCAACGATTCCTCACTTTGTGTTGCACATTTCCTGAAACTTCTGATCAGAAAGCACTTCGACAGTGTATATACATACTGTCGTTTCTCGCGAAGACTGAATGTGGATCTCATCACTGGAAACTATGAAGTTACTGGCTTTGCTGCTCCTCACTTTTATATCAGGTAAGAACATCCAAACCAAAATGTGCAATAGCTCCACCTTGCTCTCTATACTTGTGCGTTGTGTCCCTTCCAAATTAACATCAAGCGGCACCTCAGTGGCTCAGGGTGGAAATATTTTGTCTGCTCTGGCATTAAATTGTGAGACCCGAAGTCACAGGTTTCTGTCCAGGTCTTTGCTGAGCTGATCTCACTGGAGATGCTCCTGATCATTGCTCACAGGCTCCTTCTAGAAAATGTTCATGTTGGAATTGGGCTGAACTCGGCCTTCCGCCAGTTAAATGACTGCCAACACTCTCACATGAACACTGAGCTATCAGCTATCCCACAGGTGCTGGCACAGGTGGATGGTTCACTGGAACTGTTCCACAGACTGACTGATCAAGGCTTTGTTTATTTGTGTTTATCCAAACTTTTTCATGTTACGTTTAATCAACAGGTTCATCAGGACGAATCGAATCAAAAGTGCTAATGGCTAAGCTGGGAGAAAACATCATTATAAAGTGTCAATACCCGAAACTAACCAGGAAATCAAGGAATTGTTTGTGTAAACAAACCAAAGATAATTACTGCAATTATCTTGTATGTACTGATGGAGATTTCAACACAGTATATGATGAGAGAGCTTCAATGACTGGGAGCAATGATGGTCCAATTTCTGCTGCCGTGAAGACACTTGAAGAGAAAGACACTGGGATATACTGGTGTGGAAAAGATAATGGTAAAACTATAGAAATTTCAGAGGTTGTGCTGCTGAAAGTGTTCAAAGGTAAGAATGCCTTTACATTGACTGATACATTGCAAACCAAATTGTGCTGGAAAGTGCAAACTATACTGTGCTGAGTAGACAGGGTCCAACTTAAACACATCAGCGTTTACATCGCACTTTACCCAAAGGACTGTCCGAGTATAAACCTATTTACACTTCAATAGAGCCTGACACAAGATGGTCAGATACTTGTCAACAAACATCGCATCAGATTGGACAATGAGTAGAAGCAAAATGTTCTCTCTTTTTAATGTCCTATTTTGTTCACCAACAGGTACAGAGAAACCAATGAAAAGACTGGTCGCTGCTGAACTGGGAGAGCGAATCTCTGTGACGTGCCAATACAGCAAGAAACTGAGCGATTATAGCAAGTTCTTTTGTAAAGTAATCTCCAATAACGAGTGTACTCGTATAGCAGATTCTAATGGGGCTGTGAATGAACCGTATAAAAGAAGAGTTTCCATTACTCATAAAGGGAAAAGTCAGGTCATTTCCATTATCTCAGCAAAGGAGGAAGATGCTGGGGAGTACTGGTGTGGAGCAGCAAGTGGGAATAAAGTAGAGTTCACACAGGTTAAGATACTACAGATCTCTCATGGTAAGAATCAAGAACATGTAGTACAAGATTATAATAAAAATGTGTTGAAAGTGAGTATTGTTTCCCTGAGGAATGAATATCAGGTGAGAGCTCTAAGAGCTCCAGGACTCTACCCCATGTGAAGGGCGCTATATAAATGCAAGTTGTTGTTATTGTTGCTACCAAGTGAACCCAGCTTATAACTATCCTGTCCCACTGAAGATTCGGGCAGTTAATTTTTCCCCCATTTATTTCACATTCTCTTGGGGATGACGAGGGGCTGGTGATTATGAATTATCATCTGTGCTGCTGTATTTACTTTGATGTATCTCGCAGGATCAACCGCCTCATCGTTCATTGACACAACGTTCACCACAGCTATCACCAGACCTATCAACAGTTTTGCAGGAAGGTAAGATTTAATTATCAGTGCATCAATCGATCTATATAACTCTGTCTGAAGGCACACCTAAGACAGGTTACTATTAATGAGACAATGTGGGCAATCACAATTGGAGCAAGCATTTGGCAAACGGTTGAATTAAGCATCAACTTTCAAGTTGTATTTTTTTTAGTCGTTTTGAAAAGAAAACGTACAGAAAACTGGATTCAAAATTATGGCTGCATTTGTGAATATAGGCCAAGTTCTGGGCATTTTGAGGTGCTCGATAAAGAGTGTAAATTTAGACCCAGGTGGAATCACCAAGGTGGTTTGTGTGGAACTGCAATAAGGATGACTAAATACTCTAATAAAAGTGGTACCGAGTTATCTTTAGTGTCAGTGGTCAGATGCTTCGGTTTGGAAGGAATGTTTGGGCAGGTCAAATTGGCCCTTTCGCATGATATGCCCTCAAGTTCTTGACCAGGCCTTGGTCAGCTCGTCCACTTTAATCTTACAGGAGTTTTCCAAACGTGACAAAGTACGTGGTCATCGCAGTTGTGTTGGGATTTTCTTCTGTGGCCCTGTTTGCTGCCATATGTATATGGAAAAGCAGAAGTAAAACCAGAAAGAACGGTAAGCCACATTTAACTGACGGTTAATTTAATAGTAAGCCTTGGAACGAGATTGTGAAGAACACTTGGTTTTTAAATAGAGGACACATGTTCCTTCATGAGATTTCAAACAATGTGAGGAGTACAGTACTGTATTTCTTCGAGATTATAAACACTGGAGCTCTGATAGGCAGCAACTTATTTTCAACATTGAACACCCAAGTGAAATAATAGTGATAAAGCCCGTCTCCAGGTTTAACCAATTCTAAAAGCATCAGAACTGAAGATCAACGGCAGTAGAATATACTCAAACTGCCTTGTGTTGGATATGGCAATATCTTCAATCCATGACTGTTTGTGGGGACGCTGCTGTGCGCAATTGGCTGCCGCGTTTCGCCCACAAATATACAGTCAATTCACTTTACAGTATATTCTGTGAAGCGCTTTGAGACGTCTAGAAGACGTGAAAAGCGCTTCATCAAATGCAAGGATTAATATTATTATGGCTTGAAGGAAATGGCTGCTCTTTCTGTGTGAGAGGAGATGTGTAATATGGATACTCGGATCCTGTTTTGCACAATTCTGGCAGGCAGTGCCTTGGTAGAAACAGGAAGGGAGCTAAGTGATTGCTCATGTTCCCCATGAAATATTCTTCGCATTTTTGTTTGGGTCAGCTAGATGTGGAAATCCATCACCATGCTTAAGAGTATCCAAACCAGAGATCCACATGTATATATCACCTACACATGGGAACGTGCACTCTCTCTGAAATGGTGTACCCTGCTAACCTAATTTGAGAGTGTTATAGGTGCAGGTTGGTGAGAGCCAAGGCTTGGAGACCCCAGAGTGTACATTGGGGTAACTGTTAGAGCTTAACCAGCTAAACTCACCTAGCTTACCACTGAGAGTGCTGGATATCAAGCTAGGACCACAGTACCAGTTAGGGCTTTGACTTGCAGGTTAACAGGTGCCTAATGGGAAAATTTTCCTGCTCCCACTGACCAGTTTGCGTCTCTAAGCCCCGCTAATGAGCCTGAATGGCTCGTCTGTCACTAGGATTGCCTTGGGAATACCGTGGACTTGACTGGACCAACACAAAGGGTTGACTTGATTCTTAGCGATAAATGAGCGATCCGTTAATTGTTCTTTTTAAAAAAACAGAGCAGACTGTGCCAGACGATACAGAAAATCCCGCACCTCCCACAAAGGTAAAATGAATTTAACATATGTCTCCCCTTCTTCGATGTTTTTGGTTTGCAGTACGTTTCACCCACAAAATATAGCCAATTCACTTTACAGTATATTTTGTGAAGCGCTTTGAGACATCTCAACGACGTGATAAAGAGCTCTATCAAATACAAGGATTATTATTAAATTTCCTATTAATTTTGTTCAGGATCTACAACTTCCCTAAAGCATTAACTAAAGTTGGCATCGACGTAACTAACCACAGTGGTTTTAACATATCTGCAACTTCTTCCCACAAGGCGAAGCAGATTGCTGGAAACAATATTGGAATTGTGAAGTCATACTTTACCATTGGGTGCTTAGTTCTGTCGTGTCAAATTCTGTCCTTCTATGTTTCACGTTCTGGATAACTGCTGAAATTGAATCAGAAACAGCATTCCAGCACGAGACACTAGTTTTACCTACAAAATACAGTCACTCCATTTTACGGTAACTCCTGTGAAGCACTTTGAGACCTTGACAAAGTGAGGAGGCACTATATCAAATGCAAGGCTTATACCTGTTACCGTTTCAAGCGAATAACCGAGTACTTGATTTTAGATTCACGGAGGAGATGAAACGATTATCTACGCCACTCTGAAGATTCAACCATCCACTGTGCCTGTTGAAAGTGCTGCCAACTTGAGTGATGTTTCGGAATCCGTGGAGTATTCTGCCATTGTGTTCCCATCCTACCACGGTTACTAAAAACTGTTCCAGAGAAGTCAAGCAGGAATTCAACAGCTTCTTTTGAGTTTCGCGAAGAATTCATTTGAGGGGGAACGGGTGTTATTACAGTGTAGGTTTACTTATTAATTTCTTTTTAAAACATTGGGAGCGGACTGTAGAGGTCTTTTCAGTTCCTGTAGATTCCTACCTTGCCAAGTTTTACTGCTAGTAATAATAAAACTTAAGATACAAACTATGTTTTAAGATGTCTCGAAGACATGATAAAGCACTATAACAAATGCAAGGATTATTATTATTATTATGTGCCATTTCTACATATCAGCTCAGTGCTTTAACAATGCCCATATCAAGTTATTTAAATCAGGTAACAATTGTGTCAGAGGTGTGTGTACAGCACAATTTTCAGCAGAGCATATGAAATGCATTGCGATTGCACTTTAATTACTCTTTGCGTTATTTACCTTTCTCTGCCAGAATTATACAGAATTATGTCTAACAACAGAATCAAGCCAACTAGCCTGTGCCACTGTTTAGACTCCACATGAGCCTTCATCTTTCCATAAACCTTATTTTTATAAAAAGTGAAACTTGTTTGGAGGATGAGGAAAGACAAGGAAACATTTAGACGTGCTTGTGCTCATTTAGGAGACCTTTATTAAGATTTAAAGACATTTTTCATCTTCTGCTCTCCATAGTACAGCAATTAGAAAGGTTGTATGCAATAGAAAACTTCCAAATAATATGCATAACAATAAAATGTAGTTTGAATACAACAATAAAAGTACTTCTCGATTATCTAAATCTGAAATTTTGTGAGGCTCCTCTTTACTGTTGATATACTCATTCACCGTCTCGTAATTTGAAGGCGTTACCCTATCCCACAATACTATTTGGGAGGTGTGACTGATGATGTTGAGGGAGTGGGGGGGTGTTGCTGCTTTTGAAACAGTACGAATGGTAAAGATTGTGAATGCGCGTCTACTTTGAAACCTTGAAGGCAATTCATCACCAACTTGACCAACTTGACTCCTACGGTTGCAGAATGCCTCCTTATGAATGCATTAAAACAAGATAGTTTTCGTTCAAACACTCTGATGCATTCTACCCCCCCACCCCCTCCACCACCACCACCATTTCTCCGTTGCTTCCAGTGGTCAAAGTTTTAAGTTTCATCTGAAACACGACATGCACAATACCACTCGTGTGTTGGACTTGCAACAGGGTAGCGTCCAAGTGCTCTGGGGCGCTATCCTGCGTGAGGGGTGCTATATAAATGCAAGTTGTTGTTACAATATAGTTGGGAGCCACCAAGTTGGATGACTGTGGTACTGTGGGTGTTTAGGAGTTGTGTTTGGAGGATATTGCACTATCCCTGCACTGTTGGGTTTATTTCACAAGTTACGTATATCGCAAATGGAAGTACATCAGAAGTGTTGTAATCCAAACCCATGACGCACAAATAATAAAATGGGGGAGGGGCAGTTGACCAGAATCCATCCATTATGAGGATAATTTAGTTCCTTATGTTTTCATTGCAAAATATTAGGCAACTTCTCTTTAGTCACACTCATGTGTTAGGCTACGAACAGAATTTGTTCCTACTTTTTTTGAACTCCACACTGAACGGAGTTGCTCTAAGTTTTTGCAAGGACTTTGGAAACAGTAAAACACGCAGGGTACAACATATGGCACATTTTCATCAAAACGATGCACTCACTTTGAAAACAACCGTGAATGGATATAAAAACAAACAACACCCAGTGTTTCTGGTCGGCAATGGGCTTTATCGATTCCACTCTTAAAACAGCAGAGAGCATAAGGTAATGGATTTCAGTGGCATATAATGTACATCATTTCAATCTCTACCTGTTGAAAGTATTTCATACAACTGTTTATTTGACCTGGGCCAGGAAACCGGTCTGATACTATCCGCTAAAGTGGATCCCACCCACCTACACTGGATCATTACCATAGCACTTGCTTTTCTGTTGTACACTGATTCACGCAGGACAATAATGTACTTGGTAATTATCGAAATGCTACAAATTATCTCAAACATATTTCGCCCATGGATTCACACCCATTCTCCAGATGAGTATTTAATCTAGATTTCCGTAACTCACCATCAGAGGAGTGTGCCACGTTCTCGCTGCTTGGACTCAGTTGAGATGAAAGTGGAATTCTCTCCCCTCTCTAATCAAATACGCTAAAAGAAGTGAAGTGTAACATCACTCACGTGGATTTCAGATTGCATTTTAGAGAACAACAGATACTGGTTGCCTGAAGACACAAAAGACAGGAAAATGCGTCAGATCCACTGAATATGGATGAATGATTCGCCTGGGAAGAATCGTGTTTATTATAATCAGCTCCAAATACCTCCCTCCCACCCAACAATTGGTTGAAACAAATCGGCTGTCCAGTTATCTCCAACAATGGTTGGCCCTACTAAGGCATGTGTATTATCAGGATTATTTAGTTAAAATACCTTTAACTTCCTGGTTTTGCAAGCTGCAATTAACTTTTCAGGCTGTGGAAACCTTGCAAAGGGACATTTTCCTCCTCTTTCCAACCTTTTATCAAATGAACAAAGGATTATGGAAAATCAGATTTCGATTGTGAATTGGGATCTCTCTTATTCAAGTGTGTATTGGTGCTGTGAATTTAGTCATTGGAAATGAAAGAGTCAAATGTACCCATGTCCATTTACTCACCTAGAGTACCTTTCTCAAATGTATTCTCGCAATAGTTTCCTGGTGGCAATTCACAAAAAACCATGAGAGAAGTCAGCCATCGTGATGTATACTGGACATAGAGTTATCACATCTGATAGGCACCTTTCTTTAGCAAATAGTTAATTTGTCTCCTCTGATGTTCTGCACCTTGAAATGAAAGACTCTTCTGACTTTTAATTCTAAATTCTATCCACGGTTAAAAAACAGGACTTGAAATTTGTGGACCTAAAATGCAAACTTGAGAACACTGCCTACAAAAGGCTTGGGCTACCTTCTTTCATGCCACCCCTGTTAAGAGATTAATTATTTAATGAGTTTCTAACCTCTGAGCTCTTTATCTCAGGTAGGTCATAGGGGCAAAAGGAAGGGAAAACAACATCAACAAATTACATTTACACAGCACCTTTCAAGTCGAGAGGATGTCCCAAGATGCTGGACGGACATGAAGGAGGCTGGAGCTGCTGAGCGGAGGGAGTGGACAGGTCGATATGGCGTTAGCAGGTCATAGAGATGGAAGGGAGACGTGGGCAAAGAGGGATAAAAACAAAACACAAAACAAAAAAAATTCTCACAAGTTTCTGCGAGTTTGACCATATGCCGCCAAACTTAAAGAGTTTTATATAAAAAAAAAGCTGTTTTCGTTTGGCCAAACAGCTGTCTCAAACTGCTCTGGAAGAAATGCGGAAGCAGATAAAAATTTAGAAAGACCACAAAATGGAGCGATTTGCATACAATGTACCTTTTGCAAGGAGGAATATTAAATACCATTTTAATTGCCGTTAGCCTTCAAAAGTGCAATCACAGGAACAAAGGAGGGCTGTGCCAAACAAAAGGTGCCAACTGAAATCTGCCATGAAACCTTAATATTTTGAACACAGTAAATCCTTTACAAAAACCATAAAGAAAAAAAAAAGCAACTCGCATTGAATTTATTTGAGGCACACGGGCTCAAATTACAATTATTTTCTATAAACAGGTGAGTTACCCAGCAAACATTAAAACTACATATTTCAGTGGTTCCTTTTTGCCTCGACACCTTGCAACAGGTTGCTACCGTTCACCATTCTGGTGGTACAAGACGAAAAGATAACTGGCTGATTATTTTTTCATTACTCTCAATTAAAACCATCTTGTTGCAATTGGCACAGCCTCCTCCCCATGTTAGGAGCATGTTTCGATTGAACAAACCTTTTGTGTTTCCACAACTCATTCTTTTCATTCTTTATTTTTTTAAAAATATATATTTTTCACGGAATTGGAGTGAAAGTATTTTCTAGTCACGTGGTTCAGGTTCAGAAGGCATACATCCCACTGTGTTAATAATAATAATAAACCTTGCATTTGATATAGCGCCTTGTCACATCGAGACCTCTCAAAGCGCTTCACAGCATGTACTGAAAAGTGAATTGACTGTATGTTTTGTGGGAGACACTCAGCCGCCAATTGGGCACAGCAGAGTCCCACAAACAGCCGTGACCAAATCATTAAAAAAAACCTGACCCAACGTTTCGTACTGCCCAGGAATCAAACCCAGGTCCTCTCGTTGCGAGTTGACCGCTCTAACCACTAAACTACAGGACTCCCATTAGTACAGATCAGCAGAATCCATGCTTCTTCCCCTCCGCACCCACCCACCCCCACACCCCCATCTGGATAAAGTGTTAGCCGCAGAAATAACCACTTTACAAACAAAACACAGTATCTACAGTATGAATTGGACGTGCTTGGATACAAAAGAATATCTGTGGAATGTGAACCCATCAGGATGTAAAAATCAGACATCACTGTGGATGGCAAGTACTGTTTGGCACGTTCTTATCCTGATCTAATATGGTTTTGTCCAAACGTAACCAACTACAATTAGAATTGACACAGATTTTTGAAAAAAAAACTTGAAAAAATATTTATTTTCCTGTTAAACCCTGGGACTTTAGCTTCTACTGTCCTTTGTCTAAATGATTAGCGCCTGAAGTGTAATAATAATACTTGCATTTGATATAGCATGTTATCTCGTCTTTGAGACGCCTCAAAGAGTTTCACAGAATACACTGTAAAGTGAATTGACTGTATATTTTGTGGGCGAAAGGTGGCAGCCAATTGCGCTCAGCAGCGTCCCCACAAACAGTGGTGGCTTGAGTCACCAAATTATTATTATTATTACTTTTTTTGAGCCGATTATTCCCCTTCTAGTGTCTAGTGGTGTCAATCTAGAATATGTATGAATAAGGCTGAGCATTGCATTGCATGAAGGTGACATGATCTGAGCTGCCTCGTCACAAGAACATTCACATTCTTTTGGCGACACAACTGTATTCACAGCTGCTTCAGTGCTGAATTGGGTTGACTTAAAAGGTGATACGATTGGCCATGGATTCTGAAAACCCAAGTATCACAAAACTCTGCCACCCAAGAGCAGACTTTTTTTTTTTAAAAAAAAGACACATACAAAAGAATCCTTTGGAATAGTTTGAATTGAGCCTAAAACTCCCAATTTTGCGGCTAAAATAAACCCCAAAAGGTAAAAATTCTTAAATTACAGTACTATTGGATTTCACAACATCGATCATCGGACAGCCTCAAATGGTTTGATGGAGACTGCTTTGTCACATTGTAATGGGACAGTTGCATCTTTCAGCAGTACATTGGAAGTTAAATGCTCTAGTTTAGGATCATAATCACAGAATGGTAAGAGAAATAAAGTTATATGATAAAGTTACAAGCAAAGGCTAGGCCGTTAAAGAAATAAGATGCCTAGGAGTGCAGAAGTGCTCTTCAAATACATTTAGTGAGCAGTCAAACAGCTAGGCTGGTGCCTACTATACATTCTTCTACTGAGGTTTCATACAACTTGGTCCTTCTTTCATTCATTTTGAAGTTGTGCACCTAATACCTGCAGAGAAACAGAGAGAGATTTATTGTTGCCACTCTGTGTAAAGAAGAACTGGCTTTATAATACCATACTCGCTTCTCACTTGATAAACGCTAGCTTTACATATAGGGTAACTGTACAGCTTGATTGTTTGGAAATGTACCTGTAGTAATTAGGCTTGAAAGGTCCATTTTTGTTGAGGCCCAGATACTTTGCCTGTTCGTCTGACAATTCGGTCAAGTGGGCGTCAAAGGTTGGCAGATGCAAACTGGCAACATATTCATCTGTAAGAAGATGACATTTATGCCCAAACAATTGCTGGCTAGGGTAGAACTTCCACACGGTTGCTGTAATTGGTTTCCCAAGTAAACTTTTTTTTTATTTTCTAAATTGTAAATTCTAAAAGGTTTTGCTTGCACACGATCACTACACGGTAGTCTCCATCCATTGAGACTGGCCCGCAATAGTTTGCTCCCCATTTGAAAGCTCTCTGCAACTTACCCATCTTTTTAGGCAGGAGGTACACGTCTTGTTTGTAGCGTCCTTCGGGAGCGTTGTAGAGCTCTATCAGAGCCAGTGCCTGCACAAAGATACAGAAACTCCTTGAACGGCCTGTGGACACTGGCAATTTTAGTTCTGGGAAACTGCTTAAAAGGGAAGGAAAATTTTCTTCTCTGCAGAAGGGGAAAAAATCCTAAAAATGTAAGTGCAGAATACCTGGGAACCGTCTCATCATGTACCGGACTGTCCGGTCTTACTGATCTACTTTGCAGGGATGTTTGTGCCAGATTCTTTTGCAATTGAGGCAGCTGCTTTGGACCAGCCGAGAAGCCAATCTGAAGCTACACGATGCCGCAAAAGCACAATACTGGGCAGCAGGCAGTAATACTTAGCCAATACTGGCAATTTCAGCTGCTTAACTTGGCAGGTTTGAGTTATTAATGGAAGAAATTCTTACAGGACATTTTAACCTGATCAGCAGCCAGGAACACAGGTCAGGAGGTGAATGGTTACTTACTCTTGTATAATACTGTACAACATCATGACTGAATATTGTAAAATCCACAATCGCTTGTAAAAATATATCAATATTAGATTGCAAATAATTGCAGGTGACACTATATTCTAATGTTCTCACAAGTCATACAGGCAGAGAGAGTTAAGTTATTGGGATGCCTATGCAGTCACAACAACAACAACTTGCATTTATATAGTGCCCTTCACGCTGAGTAGCTGCCCGGAGCACTTGACAATCTGACCACGAGCCAGGAGGGGAGGGAGAGAGGGGAGAGGTGACCGTAAGCATGATCAAAAAGGAAAGTCTTTAGGCTGGGTTTGAAAATGGGGAGGGAGGGGGCAAGGGGGAGGGATTGAGTTCCAGAGTTTCAGGGTGTAATGGCTGAAGGCACGGCCACTGATGGTGGAGCGGAGAGAACGAGGGGCAAACAGAAGGCCATTACTTACCTGAGTGGTAGCTGTGATTGAAAGTACAAACGTCGGCACAGTTGAGCAACTCAGGTTAAGGAGACGACCCTGAAGCAAAATGAAACGAGGTCAGAAGAGAGGGAGCCTTTAAATTTAAAAATTATTGATTTTTGTTTCCTCAAATTTATCTTCTCCCCGCTTCTTTAGATCTACACTGTATCCACCTCTCTGTGCTGCACAGTACATCACAAAATCAACATGACACAAGTTATCGGCTATTCCAAATGCTGACCTGATTTTCCCATGGTGCCCAAACCTCGCCCCCATGAAGGAAAAAAAAAGACCGCTCCCTACATCATGATCTTAAACAACTCCTGCAACTAAATCACCTGCTTGTAATTTATGTTCAGGTGTGTTTCATCGTCTCAAATTCCCTTCCTTTCTGGCACGGTCATACGATACTCAGATTTTCCAGTCAGGTGTAATTTAGCAGATTTGACAGCTGATAGGAATTTGACTCCCTATTAGCTTCGCAGTATTTTTTTTCTGACACCCGCTTTGAACTGTTAAAACTTCCTTCTCGTATATCGCACTACTCCAGAAGCAGCGAGTACTTTACAAACCTCAGCCAAAAGCACAACACGCTTCCCGTCAGGCCAGATCACGTGATCCACTTGAGATCGTACCCTCTCCCATGTGAGCTCTGGGGTACGTAGACTCGCCTGCAGTCAAACAGGAACAGCAGACATTGTAAACAGCACCTTCAAAAGGCAACTGAAGAAAATTGCTCTAAATTGCGAAACAGATGAATAAAAATAATAATCCTTGCCTTTGATATAGCGCCTTATCACGTCATCGAGACGTCTCAAAGCGCTTCAAAGGATGCACTGTGAAGTTCAGTGACTTTGTATTTTGGGGCGAAATGCCAATAGACCCACGAATGGCAAATAAACCCAATATTGATTCATTACATTCCTTTTTTTAACAATAGAGTTCAATTTTTAAATAGTTAATAGTGGTTTGTTAATTTTACATTTTTTTTCAAATCAGAGTAGAAGCTGTTATTTAAGGGGACTAATACATTCCCTGGATAGGCTTCTAAGACACTAATTATTAGCAGGTACTAAATCAAACTACACCTTTGTAGGAATCTTGTCTTACCACATCGATCTCAGTGTTTGAGTGCCCCATGTTGCAAACAATGCAACCATTCTTCATTCGATCGAGCTGTTCCCTAGTAACGACATTCTTGTTGCCTGAAAAAAAATGTACTTTTTTTTAAATAAAAGAATTACATACGACTGTGCTGCAATTCTTCACCCCTTAGAATCCAAATCTAGATATAAATCACCATTTGAATGCGTTGTTCAAATCTATCAGCAGATAATAATCTATGAGATTCAACCTTGAAACCGTAAAAGGACTATTACCAACACCATCAATACAAATCTACTGTCAATGTAAAGAAAGCCTAAAAACTAGGACAAAATCAAGTAATTCCTAGCTCCATAATGTATTTACAAATCACTGGAAGGGTTCCATTAAAATTGGCATCACAATTCCATCTTTCATTAAAAGCTTGTTGGGTTGAATAGAGGAATGCTTCAAAATTACTATTATACCTCATATTCTGTATGTGAGCAAAATGAAGTCTGATGGACCCTGGTCACTGCTTATCTTTTTTTTGAGATATTTAGTTTTAGAGCACCAGAATCTGTCTTAATTTGCAGAATATTAGTTCCAAATAAAGAATTGCAGGAGATCGACCTTAATGTCGATTTAAACATCGTCCACCATGTAGGTTGGCTGCGACCTTACGTGACTTACCTGTGCAGGTGATGACCAAATCCACCTGTCGGATAACCTCGTTCAGTTTCATCACTCGAAACCCATCCATGCTGCGAAGAGAAAAGATCAGCAAAAATGTGCTCTAATCACAAGCACAAATTTGAAAGCACCTTGGCCCCTCCCTGACTCTGCTTGCAGTTGACATACAGCCAATGGTACCCATTTCAACAAAAAGGTTAAATATTCTCGCGCGGCTAACTCACAAAACACTAACCTTTCCTTGATACGGATATCTACTCACACCAACCAGGTTTCAAAGGTCCGTTTTGATAGAGGGCTAGATATTTAAATCATTTTAATTCAACTTGAAAACTATCTCAGTACTTGTGCGTGATTACATTCGGCACTTGTTTTTTTCCTGGTGAATTGAAATTAATCAAACTGCCCGGGAGTTTATCAGGATGAACATTTACATTGGCATTTTAAAATCTAGGTTTGTCTGGTCACTGAGACAAAACGTTCAAACACAAGTTCAGACCTTGATCTTTAACCCTGAGAGAAATTTGGAAGGGGAACGGATGAAAAGAACACAAAACCACGTTGACTGACGCAGATTACATTTCATACCAAATTTATGAAAGTCAAATACCTAAAAAACTGTCCCGTTGGTTTCTTGGTACATGTACAACTCACAATTTATATTAGTGCCCTTCATGAGGAAGTGTCTCGGAGAGCTTAAATATGGAGAGGCGATAGTGATTCAAGTAAGTGCATTAGAAAAAACATTGGTGTTTTCTGTGTACATCTATTGAATGCAATTTCATTGTTAAGTTAATTTGGTTCGACATTCAGCACACCACTTCACTTCCACATTTCCTGGCACAGAAAGCCTTGAAATATTACAATGAAAGAGTCATCTCACCAGGCCTGCAGAGCGCAGATTGGATCGATCTCAGTCACGTACACAATGGCACCCAATGCCTTCAGGGCAGCACAACACCCTTTGCCAACCTATTAAAACCATTAAAAAAAAACACACAATTCTTCAAAACTATAGAAAGCGGTGCACCATCATTAGAGCACCGTTTTAGTGATGCAAGGCGGGGTCTGCTATGGACCAATTCAATTATTATTGGCAAGAAAAGTTTAAAATGCCGTTTTTTTAATAATCTTTCGCCCACAACATATATTCAATTCACTTTACAGTATATCCTGTGAAGCGCTTTGAGACGTCTAGAAGGCGTGAGAAGGTGCTATACTAAATGCAAGGGTTATTTTTTAATTTTACAGGCAGGAAGGTTGCGGATTTGGGAGTAAAGTTGCTGATATTTAATTTCAACCATCAATAATCTGCCAAATTACTTTTTTTTGTGCATTTAAAAGCAGGTTGAGCAACCATTTGGGCAAGCAGTCATTCCTACACACAAGCAAACCTTACTCAAGTTACTTAGGAACAATGACTAACGTGATGGGCTCATTGTTATCTACCACAACTGATCTGAAAGCATACTGCAACACATTGGGGGGAGGGGGGAAATGTTGCCGCAGCATGGTGTCATTTTCTAAATGGCCTGGAAATAGAACTGCTTTTCATTAGGGGTTGGCTGTGCAGGATTGACTTGTATCCACGGGCAACATAAAAGCAGAGATAGATCATTCTTTTCCAGTTCCTTTTTTTGACAAGAGTTAAATCGAGATAACACAAACTGCTTTTGTGGTCAGTCAATTTCTTACATTCAAAAACGTACAAGTCATACGTCTATAAAAGGCAAATATTCCACTTGTAACCAAGTTTGCTCTGTCAGCATAGCATTTCAGATCATCCAGAATTTGCCAAATTAAAGGCAGATTTGATTTTAATTCGGAAACTGATTTCCTTATATTCAAACGTAATCTTGTTGTTGTTCCTTAAAGTTATTTTAAGAACTACAGAAAATGGGCTTCAAAGTTAAAAACTGATTTCAACAATTTGTCAAACTCTGAACGTTCTACATTCATAGAGCAAATTTAGATGCAGGTGGGATTTCGAACCCACTAATTTCTGAAAAGAAATGTTTCAAAGACACCGGACATTACCTCTCCGTATCCACACACCACCATCTGTTTTCCACCAAACATCACGTCAGTCGTTCTCTTTAAACTGGGAACACGAACACAAAAACATATGATGATGTTTTGCTGTGATGTTTCACCCACAAAATACAGTCAATTCACGTTACAGTATATTTTGTGAAGCACTTCGAAACGTCTCAAAGACATGATAAGGCACAATATCAAATGCAAGGATTATTATTCATATTATTTTAATCTATCAGATTTTTTAAAAAAAATAGATCTTTGGGACATTTGGGGGACTTCTTGTGTTTGTTAAAATGCTAAATAGTGATTGAACATTTCATTGCTGCCTTAGATTAATGGGCTTTAGAGCGTCTTGCTGTAATTTTTTACCCAAGTGCTGTTCCATAGCAACATATGGAAATAGATGGACCGGAACTGTATAATTATCGTAAAAAGATGTCTATCTTACCAGGAGACTGTCTGAATTTATTGCAAATTCTACCAGTCAGACAGCGCACAATCTAATTGCTGCTCCCACAATCCCATTAGCTATCATTCCTGCCACCTCTGCAGGTTGACACGAGTCAGTCTAATATTAATAGTCACACGGTTTCACCAGACTGCTCAACTAGAGTGAACTGCTTTTAGAATTATAGTAATTATAAAACAATTTCACTCCTACTGAAAAGTGCAGGAAAAAATCCACATTAAATCGACTCCATCTCAAACTGCAGAGACAGCAGAAGAATGCAACTATGGGAGGGAGTGGGACAGATTCCTAACAAGCTCAACCCAAAATAATGTGAGTGTGTTTAAAACAACAGATGAAAATGACAAGAGAAAGATAGGAGAAAGAAAAAATGATGCAACGAGAGGATTAACAAAAGAAGCAAAGAAATTAATCAAATGTTCTCTGGTTCAAACAGAGATGAAGCAGCACAGGGAAACAAAGCAAAATATAATGAGATTGTGGTGAGGGGGAAGGAAATTAAATGGTGGAAGTTTGATCATCAGCCCTGGTCCTGACATAAGCCTCTGGAACATGGAGGTTTTCACACTTTTTGGTGAATTGAAAACATGAAAATAATCTCCTCTGCTGAAGTTAAGATAAAAAAATATATGTAAATTGCAAACAATTGCACATAAAGGTTCAACTTCTAGCTTCCTACTTACCCGTCCAGGATGGATTCTCTGCAGCAGTACAAATTGTCAAATTTCTGTTTGGTAACAGAGTCGTTCACATTCATGGCTGGCACACAGAGTTTGCCGGCTTTAGACAACTGGTAGAGTCTAAAATAAAGAAAATTAAAATGAAACCATTTTCAAGGGAGAGAGAAAAAAAATACCACTGCCTAGAAATACCCCTGGCAAGACAGCTGATACCATGCAGAAAATCACATACTGTGCCACTGAATTCTCCTCTTACAGATAGAATTGAAAGACAAGTTAAAAGGAAAGATTGCGACTATGGGAGTCACTTTTTTTTTAATTGAAGGGGAAAAAAATATGGAACAAACCTGTGAACGCCAGTCACACTCTCTTCTACGATGCCCCGAATCTTCTTAAAAACGTTCGGATATTTCTTATAAACCCAGTGGGTCAAATCGCCACCGTCATCTAGGATCTACAATTGAAGTGGGTACAGCGCACAGAAAGCCAGTCAATAAATGTTACATGTTAAACATAAGAACAGAAGAATTGCTAAACGAAAGATAACCGAGGTTCATCCAGTTCGCCTTCCATCATCCTGGAATTTGGATGCATATGTCATGTTCCAAACTATATTATTTCCCAACAGAACGTCTCAAGTCAATTATTCACTTGATTGTGCTTTAGGTCCACTATGGACTGGGGATCAAAGTACTGCAACACAATACATTTGGGGATAACTATGGTAATTGTAAAGTGTGTTCTCTCCCTTGCATCCCCATCTTACTGAGCACAAATCAACAATCCAAATGGGTTAACATGACCATGACAGGAGTACTTGAATAGTAACTGTTCAAATCAGTAACATTAAAATGATGATCAATTGAGGCATTTAAAACGGAGATGGATAAGTACTGGGAAATAAGGGACATGAGCAAAGGGGTGGAAATGGAATTAGAAAGATGGCCATGAACTAATAACTCATAGTGGACTGCCTTGAAGAGTAGTCCACATCATCACTTCTGTTACAAATAATTTGCCATATTTAACGAAAAAAAGCCCTGTGAATTGTAAATCACAGGGCGTTTTACCCCTACAGATAAATGCTAAATGCAGGTTATCACAGTTTCTGCAATATGACTGCATTATTATTCAGTTGATAAAATCAGATACAAGTGAAAATAATTTAAATTCTAGGTTGCGTAATGAATAATTATCATAAGCAACACTTCATATTACTAAATGCTCCTCAAATGCATAGGTATTTTTCATATCTCCGACTTGTGTGCAATTACGTCTGTCAGGGTTAAGTAGCATAACTAAGAGAGGCGATAATTCCTGGTGAATATTAACAGGGTTTTACAGCCTGGTTTTGTTGGTAGCGCTCTCAACTCAGAAAGTTGTGGGTTCAAACCCCACTTTGGGACTTTGAGCTCATAATCTTTCTATGTTGATCGTACAGTGCAGTACTGGGATAATGCTGCATTATCAGAGGAGCCGTCCTTCACATGAGACATTAAATTAAAGTTCCAGCTGCCTATTCTGGCAGACTATAAAGACCCCATGGCACTATTCAACAAGAGAACAGAGTTTCTCCCAATCCCCAAGTAAAATGAATTATTCCCCTCTAGGCTGTTTGGGGGAAAATCACTGTGTTAAATTAACTGCTGAATTTCCCTACAAATATAGTCTTTATAGTCCTTACTCCTTTGTCACTCATCTCCACTCCCAAAGTATAAATTAATCTGCATCTTAAATGCATCCTTAACCTATAGTAAATGTAAATTGAACGGTACTGTAATCACTTCCGATATGAACACTGTCCAGCACTGAAAAAGTATTTGCAAAAGCTCACATTAGTGTATTAGCAGAGTATGTCCTCACGAGGGCGATACCATCTAACACATTTTGACCTTGGGATCAAGTGCTCATTATTTTAATCTGTTTGTTCCTTGTGATGTATTTATGGTGAGTGCTTTTATTTTACAACTGAAATACACAAACTCATAAAAGAATGAAACACATGCAGCAGATTAAACATAAGGGCGCAGTGTTGTGCAGTGACATCTCAACAAATCAGTAATTAGGACTTATTAATTATATTCTGTGAAGCGCTTTGAGACGTCTCGAAGACATGATAAGTATCTATATCAAATGCCAGAATCATTTTTATTAGGACAGGGTTGTGAAATGCCTTTTTATCTTTTCCAAAGTTCTTCCAATTATTGTTCCAGGAAACCTTTGTATCATTTTAAAACTGCCTCGTTATACCATGTACTGAGCCTATTGATGCACAATAGAGTAGGAGGAAGATGGTACACATGATATGTACCTGAAAAAAAATAGGAAGCTGGAAATTGTAAAGCCAACTGGAAACCCAAATGACCATAAAAATTAGGATTTAAAGCTGGCACAAACTTTTAACATGTGCCCCCTAAGCCACTTTCAAAAGCTCTTTGCTGGCCTAGAGACATTTCTAGCATCAACAGTGATAAGATTCTGTGGGTGATACCCTTTCGGATATCACCCACAGTGCCAAGGACTGTGCCAGCAATGAACTCATCACTGTGAAACACTGTGCTCAGTTGGTAAATATTTAGTTAGAAAGGCAGCTTATTTACCATATTCGCTTGCCAACTCTCCATGTTCACACAGCGATCAATGCACCACCAGAAATCATCCTCGGACTCTCCTTTCCAGGCAAACACAGAAAATCCTAGAGGTGGGGGTGCAGGGAGAGGAAAAAAGTTATCATAGTCGAAAAAACAATCCGCTTTAAGCTCTAACAAGCTTTAAAGGATTCAGAGGTACACAGGGAATGCAATTCAGTGAAAGCAGCGAGCTTAACAGACCTCAAAAGCACTTTTCATAATTAAACATCAGATTGCCATTTGCCAATTATCCAAAGTGCAATTCGGAGAGCAATTTGATCAAAGAGAGTTTTGTCAATAGGTTATAGCAATGAACCCTGTAGAAGCTGAGAAGATATAAAAGGGTGACGTTAGTGACATATCATGATGGCGGGCAACTATTATTCCTCACTTTCCTCTTTCAGCTATGCGGTAAATCAACACTGCTGTTTTAGATACAAGTTAAATTCTGACTTGCTTGATGTAGTGAATCTTTAAAACTTGAGCATGAACTTTGGTCACTTATCAGAGATTATTAACCCCAAATGAGAGTCTTTTGTGAGCAAGGCAGATGTAACCCAAGGATGCTCATTCATTTACAGCATATTCTATATAACTGAATCTGTCCAGCATTGTGCTACTGGGATGCTGCAGAGAATTTTAGGATCCCTACCTTGAACGGGGCACTGATGTGTAAGAGAAGAGCAACAAGTATTTCAGGACTTAATACTCTGTGTTGTGGTTCTAGGCGCATAAAGCTATACATGTGCTGATTGGCAGCAAAAATCTGAACATACCAGCCTCTGCGAGGGCGGCTGCAACTTCGTTCTGCGTGGAGTAAATATTACAGGCTGCCCAGCGACACTGTGCTCCAAGAGCTCCCAGGGTCTCTATCAGAACCTGCAGCAAACACGTGTCAACAAGACATCAGAAATCAATGGAGCTTCAGTAATGGTCACTCTATTTTAATAACAATAATAATCCTTGCATTTGATTCAAGACGTTTCAAAGCGCTTCACCGGATATACTTAAAAGTGAATTTTGTGGGCAAAACACGGCAGCCAATTGCGCACAGCAGTGTCCCACAAACAGTTGGGGATTGAGTGACCAAATTATTAATATTTATTTTTTAAAAGGGATTATAAAGGGATCCACCAATCGACTAACAAGTGGTTTCCTACTTGCTGCTAGGGAAACAGGAGTATGTGTAGAGTAAGGAAACTTGCCTAAGGTTTCTCCCTGCTCGGGAATCGAACCCGGGTCCTCTCGCTTGTGAGGCGAGGGCTCTAACCACTGCACTATAGGACTCCATCTGAACATACCAACAGCTACAACTTAGTTCTGTGTGGAGTAAATATTCACTATATTTTAGAGAAAACAGTTAAGACGCCACAGTTCTGGTCATTTCATTGCAGTTGAGAAGTTCCATTTCAGCACTTTTGTCAGCTGAAACAAGTGGTATATGCAACTCTCAAGAGCAATGGTTCTGATTTTTAATTGACTGTTTTGGTCTGTGGATGGAGACTTCTTAATATCGCTTATCTACATGTCAACATCTACATCATATAATGGCAAGACTATTTAAAAAGATAAATTGTTGTAAGTAGGCATACAGATGATAAAGAACAACTAACTATTCAACAACGTGCCTAAGGCAGTAATTCAATTTCGATGTCTGCAACGTGATTGTGCTTCCCTCTCTCAGTTTATGGCCTCATTGGAACCTCACAGCTCACTAATCAGTAACAACCTTTTGTGCCTATTAAACCATCTGTATTTGCCACTTACTGCAGTCTGGGCAGTGATGTGAGTGCAACCCACTATCTTGGCTCCAGCCAGTGGTTTTTCACCCTGAGCTCGTTTCCTAAGAGCAATAAGGGCTGACATTTCTATGGGAAAAATAATGTATAAAGACAAAGTGATTAGAAACAAAAAAAAAGCCATTATTTAACCACTTTATGTTCACAGAAGACAATTTCGACAATGGCTAAATTTGCCCCCAATTTCCCCTCTTTCGTTTCCCCATCTACAACAACAACATGTATTTATATAGCGCCCTTCACACCAGAGTGCTTGACAGTGGCAGAGTCTGACACTTTAAAACGTTAAGATCAATTCTACCAGCAAGACTCAACCAGTTTGAAACCTTTGAAGGTTTCTCTGGTGAGAACCTTCAAAGCTTTGAAGCTTAAAAGATTAAGTTCCTTGAAATTACCCAGAGACTAGTTAAGTATGCATTAATGTCTTTAATATTAAATATTACTGGGAAACAAAAGGCGCAACCAACATTGCAAAAGATAATTTAAACACACCCAACCTCATAGGCATTCAAATCCAGCATACCACAAGGGCTTCTTATAATCCTTGAACAGATTGTGGGAAAGTCTACCTCTAATCTTTTGGCCTTGTCTTATGACTCAAGTACAGATATTAATGTAGGAACATTCCAGTAATTAATGAGAAGTTCCTTTTCTACTTTGCCAAGTGGAAAACAACAAGGAACTTATCTGTTTGGATGAATACACACTTGTGTCGCTTCCCTATATCCAATTAACTGCACCTACAGTACAGGTTTCTATGCTGTGGACCAAATCGACAGGTGAAAAGATCCCAAATGGAAACTATACCAGCTTATATTGATAAGGTACATTATTTCGCTTGAGCTTTCTTTTTACAACAATTCTTATATCTTTAACTCCTCAGCACAGAATTTAGGATCTTCCTAATATATATGGCTTAATTTCCCAGTACCAGCAAACTCAAAAAACGAGTTGGAACTTAGGAAAAAATATAGGAATGTAAATAGAAAGGGGCCCAAATAAACAGTAGCTCAAAACAGGAATCTAATTGAATAGGTTCTGAAGTATACTGGACTGTAAATGGATCATAAAAAGACAAACACAGACAAAAATTCCTAACAATGAGAAACAAAAGTCAGAGACAAGCAGCAACACTTTACATAGAATCTTACAGCACAAGAGCGATCCAATTCGTCCCACTCCCCCACTCTTAACACATAGCCTTCCAATTTTTTCCTTTTCAAGTAATTATCCAATTCCCCATTGAAAGTTATTATTGAATAGAAAATTGGAAGCAACACCTTAGAGGCAGAAGGAGCCTTAGGTTCTGTGCCTATATCCCAACATATCCAGAATTTTCAAAAGCAAATGAGAAAGATTGAAATCACAAACAGGATTGTTAACAGCACCATAATAATGTTGGGTACAAATGTTGTAGTCGTGAAATCATTTGAGCAGACCATTTCAACATAATCCAAGGATTATCTCCTGAGACGATGGATTAAAACACAATTCAATGCTCAATAAATTACAATTTAGTCTTCGGCGGAACATTGTATACTGAACAGCAATGACAGATAGACACAATTAAGGATTATCCCATCAGACAAGTTACCACGTGATAGGTGTTGGCTCCTTCAGTAGGTCAGTGTAACCGAATCTGTACCCTGATGTTGGAGCCTCAAGCAATGATCATTGGAGATTGATGACAAAGAACACAAAGCAATGAGTCATTTTTTTGGGGGGTGGGGGGAGGGCAGCCGGGGGTCTGACACATTCGGAAACCTATCACTGCTTTGAGTATCCAAAACAAACTGAGAATTTGCTGTTCATAAAATGGAGGAACCTGCAGTGAAATAGCAGAGAAATTTCCTAGAGAAACGCTTGCCACACAGGCCAAGATGAATCCTACAGTCAAGATCCTAATTTGTGGGAAATGCGTAAGATCTCTTCATTTAAGATGTAGCCACACCCAGTACTGAGAACATCTCTCTTTCTTTTGCCCTGTTGTACCTTGTTCAGCAATTTCGATCTCCCGGCGTCCAAACTCGGCCTGTTTGATATTCTTGACACAGAAGTCACTACTGGACTTTGAGTTGCTTTGTTGCTTGTCCCTCGGAGATGTCTCATCGTCAGAACTATCCGTATAGGATGCCGCTAAAAGAGGGGGGGAAAAGGGACAGAAAACCCACAACCCAAGTCAGTGTTTCACAGACAGACAGTGGACAACATTCAATGACTCAATAACACAAGAATGTTGTTTTTCATATTTGCAAGGGTCTTAAAAGCTGTGCTGATGGTTTGGTGGAAAAATGGGTTCCCATATTGAAAACTAGGTTTGAAATGGAAACCTTTGTTGACATTTAAATTAGCTCTAAATACTTGCTTAAAAAAACAAGCTTACACTGTGTGTACAATCAGTGAAACTCCTAGATCAAGTGTACCCTGTGAATTCAATTTAAAAAACGGTCCATTTTGAATTCTTGATTCGTTTAAAACTACTATACAATTTAGCTTTTATCTGCAGCATGCAGTTTTTAATCTCATAGCACTTCTCACCACATGTTTGGTCTGAGTATTTATTTGACCAAACAATAGTAAAATAAAACAAGGAGCTGTTTATCTTTTTACCAGAGCTGTAGCTGTCTGTGGAAGATTGAGAGATGGAACGGGATAGAGATCTTCGACCAGTCTTGGTTGGGAATCTGCTGAACTCCTGTTTCTCATCTGAAAACTGGATTTGCTGAAAAAAAAGAACATCCACATTAACAGATAGAATCGGCACAAGTAACTTTCAGCCCGCTAGTTTTCACAAACAACCAGGCTCAGTTGGTAGCACGCTTGCCTCCGAAGTCAGAAGGTTGTGGGTTCAAGCTACGAGACTTTGAGCTCATCATCTAAGCTGATGCTCCATTACAGTGTTGGAGGAAAGCAAATCATTGCAATGTCAGAGCGGTGGTCCTTCAGTTGAGACGTTGAATCAAGGTTCCATCTGCTTGTCCAGGAAAACATTTAAGATCCCTTGCTGTTAGTTGAAGAGAGAAGGGAGTTTCTTCCAGGATCCTGGCCAACAATCACATTTGCCTTCACGTACACAGGTATGGTATTTCACAGGATGAAACATGTGAAGATGTTTTGGTATGAAAAGGCACCGTATCACATGCAAGGATGATGATGATGATTATTATTATTATAACCTGCCTGTTTTTCACCATCAACCTGCCAAGTGCGGTCAGTGCAACCCAGGAAAAAGTAAATTTAAAAAATACATCAACTCGCCCACTTGCACAATCTTGCTGAAACTGCAATGCAAAGATAGAACATTCCCTTTTCCAAGAGGCAAAAAAAAAACATGACTCTGACGATCCTGAACACTGGCCAAGGCCCTTTTGAATCTGTCGTTTTTCTTTTGGGCTGTTTTCTTGGCTGGGAAAAGGCACAAAAGGGCTGACAAAAGGTCAGTAAAGGAAAACACTAGAAAGCAAAATAGCAGCTACAAACTGGCCCTCACATTGTGATTTTCTTTGATGAATTCCCCAATTTCAGTCACCAAATGAAGGTCTCTATCAGGATTGCACCGTCCAGTTTACTAACATGGCTTTTTCACAATAATCCAAAGGCAAGAATCTTTATCTTCACTTTCAAAATTTACTGTATTTACAAACTCTAACATATTGTTAAAAATCCTCTAAAATGGAACACTGTTGCCAATAATTTCAGACTTGTTTTCTAACCGGACGTCCTAAAATAGCCTGAATAATATTCACCTCAGACTTCAGGTAATCAGATCAATTTGGTAACAGCCCCACTGAATTCCTAACAGCAACCGCAGTGACAACACATTAAGTTTGGCTTCTAATTTAGAATAGTTTTTAAAAATATATACTTCTTAGATGATTGATTCTGTCTTTATAGTTAGGTGCAAAAACATTGTTAGGTATTGAGCAGCTCCTCCTCAAGTTCTGTACAGTATTGGGAAAAAATCTAATAGTTACTTTAAAACAAATACCAATAACATTTCAACTTAATTGCTTAATTTCACAAAACTACTGTTTACATCTAATGCTTCTCATTCAGGCACAAACCTTAGAGAAACTAAATGGCCTTCGGTTTTTCCAGTTTAACATTTTTCTTGCTCACTTGTTGGTTGTTGGGACAGCAAAGCTTCTGCTCACTGGGCAAATACCAGGCAAGCTCTTGGTATTAGGCTATTAACCTCCCATTTACGACATACAAATCTCCTTGAATGTTAACTCTTAAATCATTGAGATGCCTGCAAGCTCATTAAAGGAATTACATTCAATAAAATGACTGCCTTGCCTACAGTTATACGATTAAAGGAAGCAAAGCCCATGGTATTAGTGATCAACAAATAATTTTCCTGCCAATGTTGGTTGCAGAACCTTTTAAAATATGTTACTATAAATTAATGGGTATCAGACTGCAAACTTAGTTTCTCTCAGGTTGGGACATGTGAAGTAAGCATTCAATTGCCACACCAGACACACTCCCATTTCTACTGGCCTACGCAGCATACTAATCACTCACCTGAGAGATGGTGCGGAAGCACAACATAAAGATAGAATGAAAATACAGATATGCAGAAAATGGGCATTCTATAACCCTGGAACACCTATACATATCCAACAGTACGATCATCACTAGAATAGAGCATGTGAGAAAGAATGAGATATCTGGCAATGGGGTAGATTGGACTCAATGGGCAAATTAGCATATCAAAGGGTTAAAGCAATATTCCCACCGCAGAATTCAGATGCTAACTTAATCTACAGTGGGATTACATAGTGAATCTTTGTACAACTAGAGAGAGCTAAGCACTTGATATTAGCAAAATCCTCAGGCCCTAAACAGCTGCTAAAAAGATTCTCCAATCTCTCAAAAAGCTTGCATGACAACCTCTCATGATAGCCATCAATGCCCATTTCTGTATCAATCAGATTTGTTGAATCAATTAAAATACTTTAGCTTCCCTGATACTCATCTCTTGAAGTCACAAGAAAGGTTAGGATGAGGAAGCTCCTTTGGTCCTTCAATCTCATCCTTCCACAATACTAACTCTACCATCTCTCAATATTCTATCCTTTATTACTTAAAAGGCCTCAATCAACATCTACCTTTGACGTTATTATAGTGAGTAATGTAAAAGTAAAGTTAGACCCAATGAACTGTTCACTATTGCTCATGACAGCTTGAAGGTAAACGGTTCATTTTTTGATGAGCTACGCTGAGGTTTTCTGCCAACCATTAAAAAAATGCTGCTAAATACAGGATTCAGTGGGCAGCAAAATACTGAGTCACCAGAGAACAGACAGGCTTTTTTTTCACAAAATGGATCAGGTGATGAAAGCAGCTATTGAAATCATCAATCAACTGCTGAGAGGAGATCAAATGCTGCCCTGAATTTTTGTAATCAAACAATAAGGTGACTGGGGGAAGGGAAATCCACCGATCAGAACGTACTGCAATCATGACGGGCAAATGTTTTTATTAATAATAATCCTTGCATTTGATATAGCGCCTTAGTGGATTGACTGTGTATTCTGTGGGCAAAACACGGCAGTCAATTCAACACAGCAGCGTCCCGCAAACAGTCGTGGATTGAGTGACCACTTTTTTTTGAGAGATTTTGGAGTAAATGATTATCTTAAAGTCTACCCAACAAAGAAGTAAGATAAATGGAATGTCAGTATCCCTAACCTCACCATCTTACAATACAATTTTACACTTATATAGCATCTTTCACGTCAAGATGTCATCCCAAAGAGCTTGGCAAAGCTGCTTGGCCATCGAAAAATCAATCTGCCTTGTGTTGGACCACTTAAGCAGTGCTTTGAAATATACTGAAAGCAGATTAAACAACACTAAGTTTGTGTTCCATCAGATGTTAATGTTGTAATACTAAAGTCTACTCAGCATTATTAAAATTGAATCATCTAAACCAATTCATAGCCCAACCCAGTTATTACTTTGTACTACTACATTTCCTTCCTGAAAAGGATTCAGAAACTCCTCAGGATATTTATCTTCACACAATATGAAACGTGAAATTACAAAATCAATGGTGACTTTAGACTTCAAAACATGATCTCATGACTACTTGCAGTCCACCCATCCTTTGTGATCTTGCAGGAAGTAAATTATGTACTGCGCACACGTACGAACGAGTCTGACCTCCGTGGGGGAAGGAATTGCAGATTAATGAAATTCGCAGCACACATTGTCTTGTACAGCTAGCAGCAATCAATATCAGGTTTAAAACCTCCAACCATAACCATTCTTACAACTACAAGTAATAGAAAGATGGGCTCTCTGAAAGGTTGCTAAATAGAGAAGTTTCGAATATTTTAGCAGTCTTTAAAGCTACTTTTGCATGAAAGACTATTTTTTATCATTATTATTTCTTTATACAGTACTTGTCAAATGGAGGGAGGAGAACAGAGAGAAGAAAGGTCACAGACCATCCTTGTTTTCATAAGATCACAAGAAATGCTAGACGAAAAAAGACCAAAATCCATCTAATTCGCCTTCCACCTTTCTGGGGTTCGCTTGGCCGTCACGGTCATTTTCAGTAGTTTCTATTTTTTTTTATTCATAGGCATCAATTCCTACATCATTTATCAGCAATTAACACAATTAGGAATTCAGTAAACGTTGAACCTAATCCTTCTTAAACATTTAGTCCTAGAGTCCTGTAGCTAGGTGGTTACAGCACTCGCCTCACAAGAGAGAGACCTGGGTCCAAGTCCAGGGTGAAACCTTGGGCAAGTTTCCTTACTCCACACGCCTGATAATAATCCCTCAAGAAAAAAAAATAATAAATTGCTCACTTCAATCCAAGACTGTTTGTGGGACGCTGCTGTGCGCCAATGGCTGCTGCGTTTCGCCCACAAATCTACAGTCAATTCACTTTACAGTATATTCTGTGAAGCGCTTTGAGACGTCTCAAAGAAGTGAAAAGCGCTACATTAAATACAAGGATTATTATTATTATTTAAAAGTGAAATTAAATAGGGGAATAGCAAGCTACCCCAACAGAACCTTAGCTTCAATGTGCACAGGCTAAACAAATGGTACGTTTTTGCTTCCCTCCCTCAGCCAGCTAATCCCTTTTCGCAAGCACGTCATAAGGTAATAGTCCTGCTATGACAATTCAAATTGTTCTAAGGGGAAAATACAGCAGAATTATAATCAATAATAACCTTTGCATATCATACAATGCTAAAACGGCAAAATGTCTCAAAGCAATTCACTGTGTTCCTGTCCAGTGTTGTTAGTTGCAGGAAAATTAAACAATACATTTCTTAATTATCAAATGTAAAAGACTGGGATATGTTTAACACTGAAATAGGCAAAGCAAAAATCTAAAAAAAATAATACTTTACCTTACCAGGCTTGTGAGACATTCTTGCTTCACTTCTGCTGTGATGAAAATTCCCAAGTGATATAGAATTTCACAGCCAACTCATTTCCTAAGGTTTGGACTGTACTAACTCCCACCCAGTTTTCAGCAAACTTTGGTTAACCAAAATTAGTCACTTACTCGGATTTCCCTACAATAGGCGTTCACTGCAAATAACCTTTCCATTAATTGATGCTGAAATTTCCTTTAAAGCTTTTCACATTTAAAAAGCTTAAGATGAAACATTCAATTATCATTTTATAGCCAATCATAAAGCAAAGTTCACTTCCTAAAGAAACAATTAAATACCACAACTCTTGTGT